GGCCTGGCAATTTTTTGCTATCAAAAGAGTTTTGCAGAGACTAAAACAAATGGCAGTCAGACGGTGTAAAGTCTGGGCTATATGGTGGGTGCACCAAAATTTCCCAACCTAGTTCCGTCAACTTGTTCTAAGTCATTAAAAATGTGCATGGTTATGACAGACCACAACTCCCTTTCTGTTGTCCAATTCTAGTTGCTCTTTCTGGATTGCTTCGCTTAAACAGTAGAGTTGTGCACAGTACAGGGCCGAATTCAAGGTTTCGCCTGGTTGCCACAGCTCATAATAGACAATTCCCTTTCAATCTCGAAATCAAAATTTCCAGAACAGAATTCAGCAAACCACTGCTGGGTCCTTCGTTCACTCACAGCATTCTCAGCGTACTTTTCGGCATGTTTTTGCCGTATTTTTACCTTTTTTATACTAAAAAAGCATCACATAGCATATTTCTTCAAAACAATCTTCGCGAACAATGGAAGCTGAATGTCACCTTTTAAGCACATGTTGGTTAGACACAATTGGGTGAGCGTAGTCGGATATATAGGCATCAACACCATCTAGTGGCAAAAAACCACGGAGATTTTTTATGACTTAATATATATATATATATATGTAATACTGTACTATTGGCGGAAGATTAAAAACAATTCACATTCTAGTCATGGCCGAAAATACTGTTGTGTAGATGATTGGAAAGTGCGATGTAGTAAAATGACTCGATGGAATTTTAAAAGAAGCACGACCAGCTTGATATTAAACATTTATTTCTGGATGACGAATTTCTTAGTACGGGTAGAGTAGACTTTAAGGTACCCCTTGTATTATGGCAAAGTTGTTGTTTCATTTATGGTAGCCTGAGTAGTTGAATGTTATGGAAACCCTATTGTTACGTAATCGAGTGCATGATTCTGGGAAATTTTGAATCATGGGATATTTTGTAAGCGTTTTTGTGGTGTGTGTTGGTTTGATTCTTTAGACGGTAGAATGGCCGAATGTAGTAAGATTAATTTGAAGTTTTTGTACGATTTGGAGCGAAAGGGGAAAAGAGCTTTAATTGACTGGTGTGTAAATGAAGGTTTACTTATTAGCTATTATAAGTGTCCTGTATGTAGGAAGGATATGCGTCTAGTGGAACGTAAAAACCGTTTAGATGGATTTGAATGGGTTTGTAGGAAAAAAAGTTCAGATGGTTTTACCGAACGACCATCGTCAGCTGCAAAAGCGCAAAGAACGAGACAGGATATAATGATCAGATCAGATAAGAAAGCCTGGACAGAAAATCAGCTAGTGGCGCCAACTGTCGGTGAAACCAGAACTAAAGCATAATTTCTTTAAAGGTCGAAGGCAAAGATGGATTGGAATTAGGATCATTAACTAGAACAGAAAGATTTTTTTGAATGTGAAATGCCTCTAGAAAATCCAGTTTTCCAATGGAAGTTGCTTTTTGAATAATTTTGGCAGCAGAAAAACTGAAAGTGCGATTTTTGGACCAACAATATTGGGCAACAGAAGACTTCTGTGTTCCCTTATTTCTAACAGGCCTCATGTTCCTTGACACAAAATTTTAAGGCTCTCTTAGTTTGGCTAATGTAAATTAAACCACACCCACAATTTGAATCATCAAATGATGATTTAAATACAGTCAAATGTCGTTAATCCGGACTCGTCGGGACTTTGGTGGTTCCGGATTATAGATCATCAGTTTAAATCTCGTAAGATGGCATGCAGAAATTCTAAAATTAAAAATATGAAACCATAATTTATGAAATAAAGAACAATTATGATCAAAATTTACAAAAAAAAAAAAAAAAAAAAAAAAAAAAAAAGAGCTTAATATTTATTTGTTTATTTTATTAAACATTTCTTTCAATGTAAGTTGTTTAGTTGCTTTCATTTTATTGATAAAACTTTCTCTTTAATTCTATAAACAGATATAATTTCTTGTTCAGTTACAAAGTTCCGCAGTTCAAGTCCTGTAATTGCTGTCCGAGAATACCGACTAACTTGTCAATCGAAATTTTTTCGTTTGCACTAACCTCTCTGTCACCTTCTTCATGTCTTTATCCATTTTTTGCAGCATTCCACTTTTGTTTGATGGACATCGAAACATACTTTCGTTTTGTAGATCCTTTGGGAGCTCCAGCATCGGGAATTCTATTTGACATAATCGAAAGTTCAAGTTTACTTTTATAAAATTGCTCTTACAGTCTTCAAAAAATAATAAGCCGCATCCAATTCGAAGATTAAGGAACAACGCAATCATCAACATTAACTGAAATAGATAATTAGATAATTTTAGCTTATACTGTCCGTTATACATTAAACGCGCACGTGAAAACGTATTCTGCGCAGTCATAAAGGTCTTATGCGCACGCGTAAATGTCTATGCGCATGTGTCAACGCGGCGCATGCACAGAAAGTGTTTAGCTTTGAGGTCTGGATTATAGATCATTCCGGATTATGGGCGTCCGAATTAACGACTTTTGACTGTACGCAAAATTTTAAGGCTCTCTTAGTTTGGCCAATGTAAATTAAACAACACCCACAATTTGAATCATCAAATGACGATTTAAATAAAGTTCTTTCAACAATGAATTCTATTCATCCTGCTATTCAGTTCACTTTTGAACTCTTGAGACTTGCAATTCTCTTCCGTTTCTCGACATTCTGGTCACATGTAAAACATCCAACTTCAGGACTACGGTTTACCGTAAACCTTCATCGGTTTGCCTTCCACCACACTTTAAATCATGTCATCCAATTAAACAAAAGTTAGCTTCGTTTTATTCCTATTTTCCGCGCTCTTCAAGTTTGCTCCTCCAAACTATCCCTTGATGAAGAACTAAATTATTTAAAAACAATAGCTGTTGACAGGGGCTTGTCACCCAACTTTTTAATCAAGCAGTTAAAAAGTTCTCATCTCAACACACTAAAAGGCACACTCTTGTTTTAGGAGATTATAAAAATTCTGGGTACTTTTCCGTTTTGCCGGCGCAAATCTCGCCAAGCAGACTTTATTGGCGACAACATACAGTATACATATAAAAAATATTTTTTAAATGTTAGTTCTAAGATTTTTTTATTTTGAAGGCATAAACATTTTAATATCGCTTAAAATTTTATAAAAAGCCAATAAATTTGTAAAAAGACATTAATTTAAGAATTTACTATGCTTTCATGGTTCAACATCCTGATTCGCAGGTTCATATCACATGACCCCAAGCGATCTCATCTCACGTAAACTACTCTACAGAAATCTAATGCTGTCAGTATTTATTTACATTAATTTCAAGTTAAATCTTAATTTGGAACACAAGTTTAAATGCAAGAAATATTTCAGTTCGTACGGATAGCTTGCTCAGAAATTTTGTAAAACTGCAGTGCTTTACTTCGCTAATGCATTCTCATAAGAATTGATGAATTAAACCCTTGACTTTACCTTTTCTATATTTTCGGCTTCAGGTAAGCGCTGTGATTGCATCCTAATTGACTTAATTACCAAAAATGGCCTTAGATATAAAACTGAACTATCTGATAAAAATTCTATGTAATTATATGCCAGTATTGAAAGAAACAATCAATCTGATAAGAAAAAGCTGCGACTTGTTTTGAAAATGAGGCATAAAAGGTTACCAGCGAGAATATTCCGTTTGGCATCGGTTGTACCATTATTGGCGACTTTATGGCTTGCGCCGGCAAAAACGGAAAAGTACCAAATTCTGTTATCATTCCCTTATTTCCATCAATTAGCTATACAGTTGCACATATTTTGCAGAAATTTAACTTTCCGGTCGTTTATTCTCCCATCAATAAAAATTCAGAGTTCCATACTCAAAGACCCCATTCCGAATATGAATTCCTGGGATATTTATAGGATTCCTTGCCAGTGTGGTTTAATTTACATTGGCCAAACTAAGAGAGCCTTACAATTTCGCGTCAAGGAACATGAGGCATATGTTATAAAAAAGGAAACACAGAAGTCTTCTGTTGCTCAACATTGTTGGTCCGAAAATCACACTTTCAGTTTTTCTGCTGCCAAAAAATATTCAAAAAACATCTTCCATTAGAGAAGTGGATTTTCTAGAAGCATTTTACATTTAAAAAAAAAAATCTTTCTGTTCTAGTTAACGATCCTAATTCCAATCCATCTTTGCCTTCGGCCTTTAAAGAAATTATGCTTTAGTTCTGGTTTCACCAACAGATGGCACCAATAGCTTTCTGTCCAGGCTTTCTTATCTTATCTAATCATTATATCCTATCTTGTTCATTTGGGCTTTTGCAGCTGACAATGGTGGTTCGGTAGAATCATCGAAAGTAGGCCTGGGAAAATTTGAAAATATAATGCGGATTTTTGTTGTTTGACTTGAATTAGTATTTAAATATTTATCGAATTTTACTGTGTATTTCTTAAAGTGTAGTTCGAACATTGTACTTGAATTCCTTTTGATTGACAATGTCCCACAGAGTTTCAACACATAAGTCGCTGTTGTCTCTGGACTAATGTAATGCTGCAAATCAGATAATCCGCAACCGCATAATCGAGAGTACATTGTAAATGTCACCAATAGCTTTGCATTTTTTCAAGGAGGGGATAGTGGCACTTGAAAAGTAAGATCATTTACTGTAACCATTTTATAATATTTAGGAGAGAAAATGGAAAATACTTGAATTAGAAAAAAAAAAAAAAAAAAAAAAAAAAAAAAAGACTTTAGGGGTATTGCAAATTAAAATTTTATTTTACATCCATGGGTGTACGTTTAGCATAACTTCTTTTTTCTTCCTCCTTTTTGTAAATAAATTACATTTCTTTTATAGCTTTTCTTCGCATAATAAAAATAGTACTCAAAGCTTCATACAGTTACACTAAGCATGATATTCAAATACTACTACTAATAATAATAACATGGTAGAAAATTATACAAGTTCATGTGTTTAATTAGATAAAAATAACAGTTTGTGGACGTAATAATTTTATAAAAATATCACACAAAACCTTTCATTACCTTTTTCTTCATTTTTATTGCAAATCCTATTAACTAAAAATCTACAATTAAAAGTACAGTAAACAAGTTTCGTTCACAATTACGAACTTCTAACCTACACTCAATACAAACAGTAAACAAATGCTTTCGGAGCCTGATTGTCACGTGAAAGTTAGCTGTTGCCAAAATACATTAAATATATGCAACTTTCGCTTTTAAAACCCTAAGTCCAGGAGCAGATTTAACACGTGTAGTAGGTTTGTTACATAAATGTTATTTACCAACGCTTTTGAAAATCTTGCCCTAAGGATTCCGCATTTATAATAGAAATCACGCAAAGCATCGCCAATGTACCTGAGAACAATAGCTGCCGTGTTGGCCTAATGCCTAAACTACAGAGTTATAAACACGGGGTTAAAAGACTCCTTAGTGTGAACTTTTGCTTTGGACTTTCATTGGCTGTTAGTTCACGTCAAAGTTCAGTAAGCAAACAAATTAGAGTGGACTGCTTATCGTTTGTGTTTAGTAGGTGTGTATAGTTTATCCGTTTACTATTTCTGTGATAAGTACAATGGCTGTACAAATTGCGAAAGGCTCTTTATTTATGCATCTGATGTCGGCCTCTGTTGCTGTAGCAAATCATGCTGGTAAAATTATTCGAGAAATTATGAGAAAAGGTAATTTAGGAATTGTTGAAAAAGTAAGTAAAGTTTGTTTTTATTTTATAAAATTTGCTCGGTATTTTATTTTTGATTAAAGAAAGAATTCATTATCTTGATTTTTGCATTGTTGCTAAATTTTTAGTTATAATTGTAGCAATAATAAAATCAGTTGCGTGAAAGAATGTCTTGGTTGAGTGCCTAACGATGTTAGTAGGATATTCGGGTTTTCATCCGCAGAGAACCCGTTGGCGCTTCGGGAAAGAACCCGTTTGCGCCGTTGCATTCTTACTCGCCAAGCTCGATGAACCGAGCCGTAAACGTGATTTTTAGTGCATGTAAATTCAAGTTAGCAGATAAAACAATATATTAAGCACATGGTAGTAAAAATTCACAGATAATATGCATGTAGATGTAAAACTAAAGGGTTAAAAAACGTGATGTACGAAAATAAATTTGTATTAAATCAGTTAGCACAGAAAAGAATATATTATTAAGCATAAGACAATATAAACATTTATAACGGAATAAAAATTCATTAAAAATATAAATTAGTATTAATATACGAAATAACCGTTAAACGTGATGTACAAAAAAAAAAAAAAAAAAAAAAAAAAATGTCTTAATTCCAGTTAACACAGAAACAATATATTCCTTACACCAGCAGTTGTTTTGCTAATTTTGATGACCATGGTGATGCAGCAAACTATTCTGTCATCTTAATAATCAATATTTTTTATTTCAATTAATCATCTATTTAATGCCACCTGCCATCCTCTTAAAGGTTATTGTTAGAAAAGCATTACAATATATTGTTAAAATTTTACATAAAAATTTCTTTTATTCTCATTATTTAAGATGACAATACCAATAATAAAATAAAGCATTACTTAATTAGTTAAAGTGCACATGCAATTTTGTGGTCTAAAAAACAAATTTTTTAGACTTTGGAAACCTAATGGTTCTTAGAGCTATTGATAATTTCACTTCAGCAGCCGTTACAAATTAGCATTCACCCCCCTTTCATTCCGAACCGAGAACCGCATCTATCTACGAAAGTATTTCTAACTATTTGTTGTTAAAAATTCAAAAAATAATAATAATAAGAGAAGAATAATATAAATCTGCAAATGCGAACAACGACAGTCTTAATTCAACAAAATAAACGCAAGAGGAATGGTTGCAAACTTCGAACAACCGAATGGGATAAATCCGAAGGGTTACCAAGTTAGAACTATTATCGCCAAAGTGGGCGATGTTTACATTTACAGCGTTTTCTGCGGAAGTGCTTCCGGATATTCATTTGTATTCTGAAAAGTATTCAGTTCATTGTTAACCAATTACATGATGGAAATGATCGCAACCCAAATCTGTTAATGTTTTATCTGTAATCAGTTATGTACTTAAAAAAATTGTCTTAGTACTATTGAGATAACCAAGCAATAAAATCCTAGTATACGGTGTAGCCTTGACGCGACTTTGAAAATTATCGCCAACACCAAAAATGATCCAAATAACGTCTATATATATATATACTATACACACATAGTATATGTATATACGCACATAGTATATATACTATATACATAGCATATACTATGTTTAACTGTATATTTTCTTTGAATGACCCGTTAACTACTATTTTCTTTGAATGACCCGTTAACTACTCATCGTATATGTCCCGTTTTTACTGCTCATCATAAAGTCGCCAAAAGTACCAAATCCCGTGCACCGATGATAGGATTAAACCCCAACAATTTTCAACAATCTTCCCAATGCCTAATTCCAGATTCGGTGATCTTACATTATGGTAATTGGCGATTTTTTTGGCGAAAATTTGGCAACCAACTCTCCTACAGCACCCTCTATTTTTTTTTCCTGCCGCCTTTGTCTCACGAAGTAAAGACATGTTTCTTTTTTTTTTATCTACTGAACACTTCTTTCCACAATCTACTAGCCCAATTACCTTATGCTAGAAATTTATCTAAAACAAACTGCTTTAATCATTCAAATATTCACTGCAAAATTGGAAAAAGTGCACAATACATACTCCTTACGCTTTTTTCAAATAACACATACACATAAACCATGTACACGCCGTATTTTTTACTTAAAAATATCCCAGAATTGCACAAAATGGCATTGCGCACACTCTTCACTCATATCCATGTAACGCTTTTTTCTCATAAATTAAAAGATTTCACGAAAATATTACATTTTCTGAATCTTTAACCCGGTAAAAGAACATATATGAAATTACCTGATCGTGAAAAAGTTTATACCCTTCCAAATATGAACATTTCCAATATAAAATAAATAAAATATCCATAAACTTTTACCTATAAATCATCTATTATATTATACACGTCACCAACGATTCATACGCAAGCATTACAAATACTTAGTTCAAATATTTAAATTATTTCCATGCACGTTTACTTCACTTAAACGTATACCAAATTCCTAAACATAAATTCACAAAAAACTATCATTAATTAAAATATCACTAAACCATGTACAACGTCGACTTATTTTTTACTTAAAAAAAACATCCCAGAATTGCACAAAAATGGCATTGCGCACATTCTTCACTTATCCATGTACACTGCTTTTTTCTCATAAATTAGAAAAATTTCACGAAAATACATGACAATTTTTCTGAATCTTTAAACCCGGTAAAAAGAACAATATGAAATTACCTGATCGCGAAAAAGTTTATACCCTTTCCAATTGAACATTTCCCATATAAAATAAATAAATATCCAAAAACTTTTACTTATAAATCTCTATTATTATACACGCCACCAACGATTCATACCGCAAGCATTACAAATACTTAGTGTCAAATATTTAAATTATTTCCATGCACGTTTACTTCAACTTAAACGTATACCAAATTCCTACAAACATAAATTCACAAAAACTATAATTTAATTAAAATATCACTAAACCATGTACACGTTGACTTATTTTTACTTAAAAAAACATTTCAGAATTGCACAAAAATGGCATTGCGCACACTCTTCACTATATCCATGTACACTGCTTTTTTTCTCATAATTAGAAAAATTTCACGAAATCATAACAATTTTCTAATCTTTTAAACCTGTAAAGAACATATATGAAATTACCTGACGCGAAAAATTACATACCCTTTCCAAATATTATCATTTCCCCGTATAAAATAAATAAAATATCCAAAACCTTTACCTCTACATTATCTATTATATTACAACTTCTTAACTAATTCATACCTTTACCTTTCATTACAATGGTTACAAATACTTAGTGTCAAATATTTAAATTATTTCCATGCACGTTTACGCAAATTACTTTACTTTCCCACCTTACATTTAGAACAATGCATAAAAAAATATCCTCAATAATTAAAAATCTAACTTCTATTTTCTTCAGATCTTGATTACGTGTACGATCACTTTTCTTATTTCTGTTTCAGGATCTTAAATCTACTTATAGTTCACACCAAAACCAGGTAAAATAACCTTAATAAACATCTTTACTTCTTCTCGCACACCTTAAAGAACACTTATTACCCCTTTCAATCCCCTAATACGCATTTTGAATTCACTTTATTTAGGGCCATGGGATTAAAAATTTACGACCACTGTTCACACACACACAGAAATAAAGGCAAATACAAAATTTCCAGATTTTTTCCCGATTTCCCCCCTTTTCCGATTAAAAACCGTAATTCGTCCATTAATATCACTTCATATCACATGATCTCTCATTTCCTCACACAAAATAATGCGTAATCGGAACTGAGTACTGCTCATATTATTACCAAAGTCCCAGGTAGTAACCTTTATCGCCTCCAAAATGTCGCCAAACTACTAGTTACCATATTGTAAAGATCAGCCAGAGTTGAATTACTGACATGTTTGAACTTTCAAAAGAATGTGCAAAATGGTGAAAAAAATGTATGTATATTTCTCAGAAATATGGGAAACGGATGCCATCTATTAACACAGATCTGAATAAGCAGTTAAACATCACAGAAAAGCCGAAAGGAAACCGTGAATAGGAAAAAGAGTGGGTTGCATGGTTAAATAGATGGGGAAAATGCATCTCTGAAGTTGCGGGTTATGCAAATTTTGCTACTCCTACGTTGCCCATGGAAATTGTGAGATATACAGCAAGAAGGTTAATTTATTAGTGAAAAATTTGGCTGATCTTTAGAATATGGTAACTGATAGTTTGGCGACATTTTGGAGGCGATAAAGGTTACTATCTGGGACTTTGGTAATAATGTGAGCAGTACTCAGTTCTGATTACGCATTATTTTGTGTGAGGGAAATGAGAGATCATGGGATAGGTCATGTGATATTAATGGACGGATTACGGTTCTTTAATCGGAAAAGGGGGGAATTTGGAAAAATATCTGTGGCTGTATACAGTCAAAAGTCGTTAAATCCAGACTCTCGGGACTTCGGCGATTCCGATTATCGATTTTTCTGGATTATAGATCATCATTAAAATCTCGTAAGATGGCATGCAGAAATTCTAAAATTAAAATATGAAATCGTAATTTATGAAATAAGAATAATTATGATCTAAAGGGTATCAAAAAAAAAAAAAAAAAAAAAAAAAAAAAAAAAAAAAAAAGCTTATATTTATTTGCTTACTTTATTAAACATTTCTTTCAATGTAAGTTGTTTAGTTGCTTCGTTTAGGTGATAATACTTTCTCTTTAATTCTATAACAGACAAAATTTCTTGTTCAGTTACAAGTTCCGCTGTTCAAGTCCCGTTAATTGCTGTGCGAGATACCGACTAACTTGTCAATCGAAATTTTTTTTCGTTTTCACTAACCTCTCTGTCACATTCTTTGTCTTTATCCATTTTTTTGCAGCAATTCCCTTTTTGTTTGTTACATCGAAACATACTTTCATTTTGTAGATCCTTTGGAAGTTCCAGCATCGGAAATTCTATTTGACAAAATCGAAAGTTCAAGTTTACTTTTATAAAATTGCTCTTACAGTCTGCAAAAAATAATAAGCGGGATCCAATTCGAAGTTTAAAGAACAACGAAATCATTAACATTAACTGAAATATATAATTAGATAATTTTAGCTTACACCGTCCGTTATACATTAAACGTGCAGGCGAAAATATGTTCTGCACTTGTGCACACGCATATGCGCAGTAGTCAAGGTCTTACGTGCACGCGTAAAATGCCTGTGCGCATGTGCCAACATGGCGCATGCGCAGAAAGTTTTTAGCTTTGAGGTCCGGATTATGGGTGTCCGAATTAACGACTTTTGACTGTAATATTTTGTATTAAGCTTCATTGTGTGTTGTGTGAAGTAGGGTTGAATAATTTTGGGATTGTATGGTGCTGTCTAAAGTGAATTATAGATTTTTAATGCATTTGTGTGATAATTCAAAAGAATTCGTTGAATGGTGCATGAGTGTAGATTTAATTGCGGATAAGTATGAATGTCCAAAATGTGGCAATGAAATGAGATTGTGTGAAAGGAAGGATATTACTGATAAGTTTGAATGGCTGTGCAAGAAATCTGGTGAAAATGGACATTTTGTGAAACGGAGTATAAGGAAGGGAAAAAAACGTTCAATAATTTTATTGAATCCATAATAAAAGTGTATCCACCATGTAAGCAAGATTCTGAAGAAGATTAGGTAAGTTAGTATTTTTAATTATTTAAAAAATATTATTTTTATGCATTGTTCTAAATGTAAGGTGGAAGTAAAGTAATTGGTATTATTGGGAAAATTGTTATTAGCAATGATTAGTTTAAAGTAATTAGGATTGTAAGCTAATTTTATTAATTTTAATGTATGTGCTTATTTATATTTTAAGTAGTGTTTTGAATTTAATTATATTTTAATTAAATGATAGTTATTTTGTGAATTTTATGTTTGTAGGAATTTGGTATATGTTTTAGTTGAAGTAAACGTGCATGGAAATAATTTAAATATTTGACACTAAGTATTTGTAATGTCTGCAGTATGAATTCGTTGGTGATGTTTATAATATAATAGATAATTTAGAGGTAAAAGTTTTTGGATATTTTTATTTATTTTATAACGTGGAAATGTTCATATTGGAAAGGGTATATACTTTTTCGTTATAGGTAATTTCATATATGTTCTTTTTAACGGGTTTAAAGATTCAGAAAATTGTCATGCATTTTCATGAAATTTTTCTAATTTATGAGAAAAAAGCTGTGTACATGGATATAGTGAAGAGTGTGCGCAATGCCATTTTTGTGTAATTCTGGGATGTTTCTTTAAGGAAAAGTAAGTTGACGTGTACATGGTTTATGTGTATGTGTTATTTTGAAAAACACGTAAGGAGTATGGTATTGTGCACTTTTTCCCAATTTTGGGTACAACTCTGATATACGCCCTAATTTCACCAAATGTGGCGATATGTGTTCTGCGCTGGTTTTTGGCGCGATTGCATGTTGTATGGCAACCCTGTTGACGTTGAAAAGTGTTTCGCTGGAGTTCGTTGGTTCCCGTCATGCTTTGTGTCTGAGAAGCTAGGGGGGGGGAAAGATTTAATGGTGAAAGTTGTTGAATTGAAGTTCTGCATAAGGAAATATCGTCGTGGTCATCCTGTTGAGGGGCAATGGGTATTTGGAGGTGTGGAAAGAAGGTATGGGAGATTATTTTTAGTGGTTGTGCATGATAGAAGTAGGGATTTGTGATTATTTGTTATTTTTATATTTGTGAACCATAGTATGAATTTTCTGGATAGTGTGTCTGGCTGTCATATAAATACGATACTAGTGATTACGTGGCGGCATGTTAAAGGCGGTATGAAATTGGTATATCTGCTCTTCGAAAAAGCATTAATGGTAAGTGCAATTTTATTTTATTTCTTGTTCTTATTTGTAGAATGTTCATTGTTTTTTTTAGTATGAATTCTGTTGTTATTGTTTTGTTTTTTGAATTGTTTGAAATTTATTTTAGTTATTTTGTTGATTAGTGCGTACCATCTGAATTGGGCAATTCGTAGATGTTTTTTAAATTTGAAACAGAACGCTGTGTACATGGTATTCTTTGAAATTTATTGTTCTTATGTTAATTTATTAAAGTGAGGTGCGCGTAGTTCGTAAATTCGTTTGTTGCCTAAATTGTGCAAGTCGTAGATGTTTTTTTAAGTTGAAACAGGATGCTGTGTACATGGTATTCTTTGAAATTTATTGTTATGTTAATTTATTAAAGGGAGGTGTGCATAGTTCGTAAATTCGTTCGTTGCCTAGATTGTGCCATTCGTAGATGTTTTTTTAAATTAAAACATATCGCTGTGTACATAGACTCTTGTAAAATAATTTTGGTTAAAAACTTCATGGTTTTGCTATCTAAATTTTTTGTTTTTGTTTCGGATTTTTAGCTTAAATGTGTGTTCAAAACGTGGTTTTTGCATTTGCGAAAACCGTGTTTTTGGAGACATTTTAGGCTTAAAGTTCGAAATGTAGACAAAAAATTTAGATAGCTATATGGCAGCGTGGAGATTCTCGCCAAAAATATTTGGCGAGAAATTTGGCGCCTTGAGGGTGCATATCAGAGTAGTTCCCAATTTTGCAGTGAATATTTGTCATGATTAAGCAGTTTTGTTAGATAAAATTTCTAGTATAAGTGTAATTCGTCTAGTAGATTGTTGGAAGAAGTGTTCAGTAGATAAAAAGAAAAGAAACATGTCTTTACTTCGTGAAGACGAAATGGCGGCGGGAAAAAAAAAAATAGAGGGTTGCTGTAGGAGAGTTGGTCGCCAAAAAATCGCCAAGTTACCATAATCTAAAGATCAACCAAAAATTTATTTCTTTTCTCATTTCTAGTATAAGGTTAATTTGCTGTGTTCATTGCTGTTTAAGCTGTTCTTATTTTCTAGGTATTCTTATTTTTTATTTTGTCATATTATTTACAGGGTATTAATGATTTACAGACTGAAGCTGATAGGTCAGCTCAAAGATGTATTGTTAATTCTCTTCTAAAACATTTCCCTAGGGTGACAGTTATTGGAGAGGAGGTACTTTTATTTTCATTTCATCTGTAACAGTGTAATAAACTTTCAGATATAATTATATATTTTTCCTATAATTTAAAAAAAAATTGTTTATGTATTTACTGTAGCATAAAGTTTAAAGGGATAATAAATGCTCCAAATATAGCCTTCATCAATTCTCGATTTTGTTTAAATAGGCTATCAAATCATGAAAGAAGATATTTTGAGGGAGACAGCCATGAAATTTCTTAAAGTACATGTCATCAACCTGAATTTGATTTTTGTGTAAATTTGAATATCAATGATGAGTGGTCAGACATATCATTTTATGCATTGTTTTGGTCTGAAGATTGATTTACTGCTACTTTTAATGCACAGTAGAAAGTCCGTAATTCAGACTCGTCGGGATGTCGGTGAATCCGGATTAACGGTTTTTCCGGATTATAGATCATCAATTTAAATCTGGTAAGATGGCATGCAGAAATTATACAATTAAAAATATAAAACCATAATTTATGAAATAAAGAGCAGGTATGATCTAAAGGGTATCAAAATTTACAAAAAAAAAAAAAAAAAAAAAAAAAAAAAAAAAGCTTAATATTTATTTGTTTACTTTATTAAACATTTCTTTCAATGTAAATTGTTTAAGTTGTTTTGGTTTTTGTGCTAATACTTTCTCTTTAATTCTATAAACAGACATAATTTCTTTTTCAGTTCCACAGTTCAAGTCCTGTAATTGCTGTATCGAGAATACCGACTAACTTGTCAATCGAAATTTTTTCATTTTCAATAACCTATCTGTCACTTTTTTCACTATTGGAACCGATACATCAAAACATGCTTTTGCTTTATGATCCTTCGGCAGCTCCAGAATTGGAAACTCTTTTTGACATAATTGAAAGTTCAAGCTTAACTTTTATAAGATTGCTCTAACAGTCTCTGCAAAAAATAATAAGCCGGATCCAATTAGAAGATTAAAAAACAGCACAATCTGCAAAATTAACTGAAATGCCTTAGCAGAGTTGCCAACTCTCCCGATTTTCGACCGATCTCCCGCCAACCCGATTTACAATATATTTCTTCCGGCTTTTTCTTATTCTTAAAATTTCTCACGATTTTTATGGAGCTTGGCTTAATACTTTGTTATATGAACAAAAGTGATTTTGGACGTCTGAAAACAATTGAATTTTCTCTAGATTATATCTAAAACAAAACCTTACGAATCAGATAACTTATGCTTTGTGAGTGAGAGCATTATACGTATCCCAGAAACGTCGTTCTCCAGTTCTCCAATGGGCATCGAACTCCACTGCGTGTCAGCTGGCATATATTAGCCAATGAGGACAAGGCAAGCTGTTATTTGGATGTTCTTTAGTTATTTCGTTCAATTTGTGCTGAGTTGTGTGAGTGCACGTGCCTTCGGGAAATAGTTTTAGAAATTATCATCTTTTGTTATGTCTGGGCTTTGGTATTATAACATTGGGAACTCTAATTCCCACTTCAGTATTGTGCTGCCATCTGTGTTCAATCGATTGAAAACAGAATTACCACATTTGTTTTGAAAGTTCGAACGCGTTGTGTGAGATATGTTACACTGAGACACCTGTTTTGATTTGACATTTGCACTGCTATACGATTCTGCTACAAATGCAAGTAAAGTACTGTTTTTATTATAATAAATTTCTCTTATTTTGTATATTTCTGCAAGAACTATCTAATATTGAATAATAAATAATGGGTGAAAAATGAAAATGCTATTGCATCGTGTATAAAAGCCACGTGCAATAGGTATGTTGGAAAAATTAGAATATTTTTTGAAAATACATTTGAAAATACATTCAATTCTACTGAGAAAGAAAAGGATTATTTTGGCATGATTTTTACCGAGGAAATTTTACAGAATATTGAATAATAGATAATATTGAATATATAATTTTGACGAATATTGAAACTCATATGCAAAGCAGCCTAAGAAAAGGAAGAGATTGGGTCAATACCACAAAAGACATTATCCTGAACTGGAAAGAAATCACATCAGAAGAATTGAAAGCATGGGTAGGTATGCATATACTCATGGGTATACATCAATTGCCTGAACTGAAAAACTACTGGAGCACAGACCCTATTCTCAATGTTCAAGTAGCAAGAATAATAATCGCAAACAGGTTCAAAAAAGTAACTGAGATTTTACATGTAAACGATAACAGCACAAATCCATGTGGGCAACTTGGGCATGATAAACTCGATAATGTCTGTCAGACCAATCCTCTCACAGCTCAATGATTCCATACCTAAAATCTACGAACCTTCGTCAACATTATGAATAGATGAATGTATGATAGCTTTCAAAGGGAGAACTTCATTGAGGCAGTGTATGTCAATGAAGCCTATAAAAAGAGGTTACAAGATGTGGTGTTTAGCAGATTCTAAGAGTGGATATATTCAAAAATTTGAAATTTACTGTGGAAAAGAAACTTCTGATAATAAGGGTAAAATATTGAGCTTAGGGGAAACAAACTAAACTAACGGAAGATGTGAAACAGACAGGTCATCTTATAGCCTATGATAACTATTTGACATCTTTTAGGGTTTCAAAAAGTCTACTTATAAGTGGTCTGTTTTCTGTGGGGACTGTGAGGCCGCATAGGAAGGATCTTCCACCAATGCTGAAGGCTAATAACAAACTACAAAGTGGGGAATCAATGTTCCTAACTAAGGAAGGTGTTGCTGCAATAAAGTGGATGGACAAAAAGGCTGTTACATTACATCTGCACACAATTCTTCGATTATTATATCTGTAAATCGTACACAAAAGGATGGTACTAAAACAGAAGTACCTTGCCCTAAAGCTGTTGCCGTATATAACAATATCATGGGAGGGGTTGATTGCTTCGATCAAAGAAAAGAAAGATACCATATAGGAAGAAGATCTGTAGAATGGTGGCATCATATTTTTGATTTTTTTATTGATCTTAGCATCGTAAATAGTTTTATACTGTGGCAAGTAAACAAGAGAAACAGAAGTTTAGACCAGCTAACATTCCGTATAGCATTAGCTCGTCAACTAATAGATGGATATTCCTCGAAAAAGGAAATGCCGTCCTGCTAACTTCCAAGCAAAAAGGTGTGCAGGAAAAAGGATGATATACACTTAGCCAATGTGGGAAATCATATGCCAAAGATGGTTCCAACTATAGACAATGTAAGAAATGTAGCACAAAGGCCCAAGAAAAGAGAACCCGCTATATGTGTGCAGTATGTGATGTACCCTTGTGCATTGCAACATGTTTCTCATCTTGTCACAGCAAATAATTGCCTTTAAATTGAATTTTCTCTATAACCATAAAAGGTCCCGTGGGAAGTATACTTCCCACCCCTAGAATTTAAATGTAAACAAAAAATTTGGCAAAATAAAATATATTTCCTTAAATGCTATTGTTTAGTTGATAATAAAACATAAAAAAATGGGAGAAATTCAAAAGAGAAATAAATGGCCCACGAAAGGGTTAATTGATTGATGATTGGGGCATTGCCATCACAATACAAAAGCTCTGTTATATCATATACATTTAATACCGCTTCTGCACATTTCTTCATAGATTCCATTATTTGAAAAAATTCAATTTTTATTTTGCAATGTCTGAAAACCTTCATATTCACAGCTATCATCTGCTGTACACAATTGGCTATGTATCATAAGATTGGTGACTAACAACATGTTGTTCAATTAAATTTTGTCTTGCTTCTATCATACGCTGATGATGTTAAGACTGAATTTTATGTTAGTTTAGTTAGTTATATTTTCTAATTATATGTTATATATAGTTATATATTACGTATAGTTATATATTGGAATTATATATTAATTAGTTTAGGTATTTATTATACTTATATCTATTTTCTGCACATGCTTGAGGTTTATCTGAGACTCGAATAAATAAATTTCCCCATATACTTAAGGCTTATCAAGGGTTATGGCTAGACATTTTATGGCCTGGTGCAGTCTGCATGTCTGAAATTCTGCTGCCAAGTGCCTCCTAAAATTCTAAAAAAATTGCTGCCCCTAAATTTTAAGGATTTTGCCATCTTTTAATTGTGTTACTTGTATAAATTCTAACAATTTTGCCTGCCCTAAATTGTGCTACACAGTGCAACTTTAGCACCGTGAATAACAATTCAAGGGTAGAGTAGACTTTAAGGTACCCCTTGTATTATGGCGAAATTGTTGTTTGATTTATCACCAAGTTGTTGTTTCATTTATTGTAGCCTGAGTAGTTGAATGTTATGAAAACTTTTTGTTAAATAATCGGGTGCATGATTCTGGGAAATTTTGAATCATGGGATGTTTGTAAGCGTTTTTGTGGTGTGTGTTGGTTTGATTCTTTAGACAGTAGAATGGGCGATTGTAGTAAGATTAATTTGAAGTTTCTGTACGATTTGAAGCGAAAGGGGAAAAGAGCTTTAATTGACTGGTGTGTAAATGAAGGTTTACTTAGTAGCCATTATAAGTGTCCTGTACGTAGGAAGGATATGCGTTTAGTCAAACGTAAAAACCGTTTAGATGGATTTGAATGGGTTTGTAGGAAGAAAGGTTCAGATGGTCGCTATGCGAAGTGTTCGATCAGAAAGAGTACCTGGTTTGAAAAAAGTCATTTGAGTATGATTGATATTTTGATTTTTACGTGGCTCTGGGTGTACAAAGGGAACTCGAAAATCATGGTAAGTGAAAATTTGCTTTTGGTAGTGCTTAAATGTATAACATGTTTTTCCTTTTTTATGTTATTTTATTATTTGGTTTAAAATGCATTTTATTGAGATTATGCATTTTTTGTTTGCCGATATTGTAGAATTTGGTGCTGCTTTGACTTTTTAAGTGAAAATGTATCAATGTGTACATGGACAAAGTAAAGGGTGTGCGCAATGCAAGCAATGCAGTTCTGGAATTTTTTTTAAGTGAAAGTAGGTTGACGTGTACATGGATAAAGTTAAGAGTGCGCAAAGCCATTTTTGTGCAATTCAGGGATTTTTTTTAAGTGAAAATAGGTCAACGTGTACATGGATAAAGTCAAAGGAGTGCGCAATGCCATTTTTGTGCAATTCGGGGATTTTTTTTTAAGTGAAAATAAATCGATGTGTACATGCATACCGAGTTTGTGCAATTGTTTGTCTTGTTATTTTGGCCACAAAAATCGCCGCTTCGCAAGCCAAAATAACGAGTCAAAGAATTGCAGAAAATCGGTATCCATGTACCCTAAACTATACTTTTACCCAACTCAATTATTAGTGTAACTAGTATTAATGTAATCTTTTGGCATATGAATATCATTTACAGAATGTATTTTTTGTACATAAGGATTTTTGTTAAATTTATCCTTGTCAACATAAAGGGTTATCATGCTTTTTGATATTCACTAACTAATATTTAATGTAATGTAATTATTTAATGTTTAATTAAAAATGTTTTTATGCATTATCCTGTTGACCATGAAACCATCACCGTTACTTATGAATATGTGCAATGTAACAACACACTTATAATACTTGTGTTATTATTTGACATAACCTTGATTGATTCTGGATAAGGCACCTTTTGTTTTTTTGAACAAGTATTTTAAATCAATTATTATTATTGTTTTTTTCTGTGTGTTATAGAAAAGAATTAATAATTAAAATTTGGGAACTTACTTCTTCAGGATGAATTGGATTATTTTCAAACTTATAGGTTCTCTTAGCAGTTAAAGAGAAGAAAAGTTAATGGACAGAATATTGTAAACTGAATATGACCAATAAAACAGTGAGAGATTGGAAGAATTACCAACAGGAAATTTTCGCTCGTAGCATTCTAAACTGAATTTCCGGTAAAATCAGAGATCCAAAGAAAATATCCCGAAATCAATGAAAACATTTTTACAAAGTGGGTAAAATATTGATTTTTATTAAATAAAGAGATGCATGTTGAGTTCTTTAAGAATCAGCAAGACCAAATAGTGCAACATTAACAATATGTACACCAGTCTGCATGGTTCGACAATAGCCAATTTTTGTGGTCGATGTGATGATATGAAAGTACTAAAAAAATTTCGTTCCTCAAAATTTATAGTTTTATTTATAATCTACACAAAAATAAGGTTGTTGTTTTGCATAATTTTTAAGTATTTGACAGTTATTAAAATTACAATGTAATATAAAAAATTATTGATTTATATTTTTAGTAGTCTAAGCTTTGTTCTGAAATAGTATGCTTGGTATGGAATCTTTCTCTTTTTCTGATAAATGAGTATGAAAAATTTTTTGTTAAATGTTACTTAGAATGAAAATAATGTGAAGAAAGTGAAATTATTTAGTTATAAAATAGACCTAACACTTTTCTGCTGATAACCCAAAATCAGAATTATCTGAATTATGAATAACATTTTATTATTCAAATGGTGCTGTTTAACTCTGTGACTAAATTAAGCTTTGCAAAATCTAAATGCATTTATATTTGTTTAACAGTATGCGAAAGGTATTAATTATTTTGTAATTAATTATAAAGTTTTTGCTTTCTCTGTAGACACTTGAAGCTGTAGATCACGAGCAGCCGATTGTCAACTTAAGTGATTGTGAAGCAATCAATGTGGAATGTCCTGAGCATCTAGCATCTATAAAAGAGGAAGAAGTTAGACAAAATTAAATTATTTTGATATTAATAATTTGAGATTTTTGACCAAAGAAATAAATTTTGGTACTCTTCTGTTGTCGGGACTGGATTCAGAAATTTGTGTATTGTATGCATGTATGTATTCAAAGCTGATTTGGTGCATGTATTCATATGATCCTATTTACAATTTTATGCTGTTAAATTATTTTCTGTTGTTTTATTATTTAAATATAGGTATAACTGCAGTAGTTGGCAATGCAATAATACTTTTCCTGTGCCAGTTACAAGATGAATCTGAACTAGATAATGCATTCTTTGCATTTGTGCATACTTCCTGCCCATGGGATACATTACTTTCTGTTAGTCTTACACATGCCTCTAAACAAAAATTTGAGCAGTCTGTTTAGAATATTTCTGAAATGAATTAACAAAAGTTTTTTTGTTTTAAACATTTAACATTTAGTTGTTGTACCTATGTTTTGAGGAACAAGTGATCCATTTCATCATAAATGTTTCCATCATAAATGTTTAAAGATAAATTAAACATAAATATACATTAATTACATAAGTATACATAAACATAAATATATATTAATTAAACATAAATATACATTTAAAGCTACAAAACATAAATGTTTTATAGCTTTAAATGTATAATTATATTAATATCATTTTAGAGTCAGTATTATAAATTATAACTGCTGTAAAATGCTCTTGGTGCTTTTTTAATGGATATTTTTTGCCAATAAAAATTGTAATTGTAATTGACTAAGGGTATCTAACTGTGTAATTTAATTATTTTTAACTAACTGCTCACTCTTAGAAGTTATCTCTACATGTTAAAATGAGTTATCTTCTTTCCTTAATCCTTATTGTGGATGCACAATACAGTATAAAAGTGTAAAACATTAATGCAAGACTTATTCCTAATGAGATTTAAAATAATACAAAACAACCTATTCCCTCTGGTGCTTCAGCAGCTTTTTAGAGTTTTATTTTGAATTTTATTTTTTTAGAGTTTTATTTTAAATACTGTATATTAACTGGGTTACAACTGCAGCAAATCTACACAAAACTATGACAGTAACTGGGTTATACAAAGTGCAGATTACTTTCAACACTTACCAAGCATAGCAGGCACTCACACCTGTTCTGATCAGCAGCTCTCTATCTCTAAGCAAGCTGTTGTGGTGGCAGCAGCCAAGCAGCTTCTGTTATAAGCCATGTTGATTATTATTTTACTTCACAACTTAACTTATGCTGCTTGACATAAAATTTCCATATACCTGTAGACTGAGTGAGTATGTGATGAATTGAGGCATAAGAGAAAGAATCAGTATAAAATTAACTGTTACTAAAATTTAAATAAAAAGCCACTAATCTTTAATAAATATTTGACTATTATGAGGGTAAAGTATAAATGTTTCAAGAAATTTTATAATTTAATGCTAATTACTTGAAAAAATTGATGAAGTTAATTTTACTACTAACAGATTTATTTTATCCGTATAAATTACAAAAAAGAATGTCAGGTCCAGATAATTGCTTTAGCTATTCAGTTCCTATTTGCTTGATGGTCCTTAATTTTTTCAGTGATGGTCCTTTAAAGTACTTAGTTTCCACATGCAGAAGTGTGTATGAACCCTAGAAGAGGAACAATGATGAAGATAAAATGTTAAAAAGATGCAAAGTTTTGACATTATCTGAGAAAACAAATTTTAGATATGTGTTACATGCATTTCTTCATTTGTTAGGGAACTAGGCTATAAACAAATCAAGCTTAAGAACAGTACCAGAGGATGAAAAAAAGAGTTGGTCCAGGGTCAAAGCTTCAATTGATACTTTGGAAAATGTTGCTTAAATTTCAAGGATTCCGCAAATTGGAAAAAATATAATAGCTTTTATTGATAATTTAGTAAATGAAAAACATTGGGTTGTGGATCATTTTGCTATTCAGAACAAAGTTTAGGTTTGTTCTATATCTAGATCATTTTTTTTTTCATATAAAGTTAACTTCACAGAATGCAATTTTGCTGTGCACGCAATGTATTAATGATATGACCCTCTACTTTCCCAAGGATTAACTAGCTTCATTTTGTACTTTTTAAATTGAGATTATGTTCAGCATCCGATTTGTATAGTTCTAATAATGCTGTTATTTCAAGTAATTCATTTTGTTACTATTATGCAGAATTTGACAGTGATTCTGATGTGTGGGACATTTTTCTAAATATTTTATATTTTTCTCTTTTAAATCCAAGAGAACAAACAATAAAACATCTGCTGCATAGTGGCCAGAGATTACTTGATCACTAATAACTGTATTTAGATATATAGGTAATAATTATAAAGTTTTACATATTTATTTATTTTAAAATCCTAGGTTGTTATTTGGGTTGATCCTCTTGATGGTACAGCAGAATATACGCAAGGTAATATTACATTACTAAATAACAAATATTCAATTTGCATGTATTAACTATTAGACTTCTTGCCATTACCAAAAAGTATGATAGAAATTGTTTTCTAAATATAAGAAATATTTAGATTTGTTAAGATAAATAGCATGAAAGATATGTTAATCAAAATATAAACAAAACTCAAATAAAATAATACATTTAAAACCTTTCCATTGAAAATTCACTCCTTGAAAACAAAACACTGTTGTAAGAGTTAAGAATAACACATATCATTTAAAGATGACTCATAAACAATAATATGAACTATATCTTTCTAAATGAAATTTTGTTTTATTTTGGCATCTCTTCATGAATTCATAAATAAGAATGTAAGTTTATTCTTATTTATTCGCTGGATATTTGCCAATTATCAAATTGGCAAATAAATCCTTATACAGAAAATTGTTTTATATGCTATCCTATAATGGAAAACTATTAAATGCAACCAATTTATATGTATTGATAATCTTGCATATATCTGGGATAGATAAAAGAAATGACATACATTATTATGTTAGTAATTGATAGAAAATACAATTATATATTTTTAGATGTTAAACTTACAAGTTACATTGAAATAGGAAGCAGGAAAATTGGTACTTTGAGCTACTTTAACAAAATAATAAACTTTTGTCTGCCTTGTATGAGATAGTTGATTCTTAAATTGTAGAATTTTGAGAGGTTTTTAAAAATGTTTAATAATGAACATCCAAAAATTTTCTGTAAACTTTTCACAGTTCTGAGCAAGTTAGATTATTCTAGCCAACATGGCAATAATATTATTGTATCTTAATAGCTGTTGTGTTATTCAAATGTTTCAATTTTTAGTATAATCAGACTTAATCCTTTCGATGTGACTTTTGCATGATTAAAATTTAACTATGAGTACATTATAGTTAAATTTTATATGAAAAGTAGTTTAATTTAATGTTGACATACTAAAAGAAGTGTGATATGAGTTTAAAGTTTTTAACTTTTCCCATTTTCTGGAAATCTCCTGGGACAGTATGTCCCAATCGTCTAGGATATTACCCTTTCTCAGAAAACAAAACTAAACTTTACGGTATAGTGTGAATGTTACAAAACGTACATTCTGTCAAATACACTAGTTCATATATAACAAAAAATTTCATATATGTTTCATAAACATAATAATATATCAGCATGTAGTAATTTGATTGCTAGTGGGACATATTGTTACAGAATGCCCAGGTGCGGTGAGATAGCTTCCCCGCAAAGCAGGTTTAGGTTTGCCAGAAAATGGCAAGGGAAGGCAAGGTTGCCACATTTGGCAAGAGATTGCCGATATGCCATGAACCTTCTGGAATGAATTCTTACTGGTTTAGTCCAGAATGTTCTCGAACACAAGCCAAAAGCTATATAAACCCTATGGTATGTGCAGAGTCAGTTAGTTAGTCAGTGGGGAGTTAGAGTCCATCGTGTTGATAATCAGCCAGTGAGTGCCAAGTTGGTCGTCGAGTGCACCGGAAGAGTCTCTTCACTTCGGTGTATATCGTGGTTAGTGCATCATCAAAAGAGTGTGTTGAGCTCCGGGAATGACTGAACTGAGGAGTTGGGAGCTGTACTCTAGCGTATCATCAAGTGCATCACGAGTTGTAGTGTGGAGAGTCTCAAGAGTATGTAGAGTTCAGAGAACGACCGAGCAGAGTCAGGAACTGTACTCTGGTGCTTTGCAGTAAAGCTGTTTCCACCATTATAGCCTGATAGTGTCGCTGATTGTGTCAGCATGTTTATAGTATTTCTTTGATGACTGTTAAACGTGATTTTGGAGCTGTCCTGATTAATACCTGCCAATAAAGTGTGTTTTGATACTTCATCAAGAAGTGTTGTCGTTATTCACTCCAAATCCACATGAACACCGTATGAGCGTGAAGGAAGAAAATAACGTAACAACTGTTGTCAGAAAAGAAAAACGCAACAATATATATAGTTCTGCATCACCAGTACGGAGAGTTCCGAGAACGATTGAGCAGAGTCGGGAGCTGGTGCTTTGCAATGAAGCTATATCCACTGTTATTATAGCCTGATATTGTGAAGGCTGTGTCGCTGATTGTTAGTGTGTATAGTAGTTCTTTGATGACTGTAAAAATGTTTTATGCTATATGTAAAAATGCTGTCTTGAATAATACTGGCTAATAAAGTGTGTTTTGATACTTTATCAAGGGCTGTTGTCATTATTCACTCCAAATCTGCACGAACCCGTACTTACAAACGTGGAAAGAGAAAAATAATGCAACAATATTAAGTCACTGTTAAATATGATTGGTACAGTATATCCCACAAAAAGAATTTATTCAAAATTTCTTAATCTGACATTAAAAATGTTAAATTGCTACTTAATTAGAACAACAAGAACTATTTCATACTAAGTATGCCTTAAATATAATTGTACTTACTGGAAAATTAAAAAAAAAAAAATAGATTCCAATCGAAACTTGAGTAACCAGTGTGCTCAAAAACATAAATGTGCCATCTGCAGTCTAAAAGCATTGCCAGGTTTCTTTAGTCATATTTGTTCCTTAATTCCTTAAAGACACTACAAATGTAAAATTCCATTTAAAAGTGGGTTTTATTTACCCAATAGAGCATCATCTGTGGGACGTATGTGCCCATTAGGACCGGAAGGGTTAAATAGCTCAGAAAATTTTATACCTATTATTTTATTATATTAAATGCTTAATGATTTAATTTGGCAGTTAGAATTTTTATTTTTTAGGTCTCTTGGATCATGTAACTGTTTTAATTGGCTTAGCTGTGAATGGAAAAGCAGTTGGAGGAGTTATTCATCAGCCATACTATAACTATAAGGTATACTAATTTTAATTATATTTTAATCAATTATAAATATTTAAAATTTAAATTACCATTGCTTAAAATTATTCAAATAAAAGACATTTTCATTTGCAAAGAATTAAGTTTGAAATATTTCAAAAGCTTTTGTGTAATTGCTCTTGTAGGCTGTTCTAATACTATGCACTTGAAATAGTCTAAAAAATTCTTATTTATTAATTTTTTATTTAGATAATCAACAAATATAAACTATGAATACTTCCTGTAAAATGCTTAAATATGAGCTAATACTTGGGCCAGTCTTACTAGCAGAAAATTTGTTAGAAACAGATTGCTCTTTTAGATAATTAACAGATAAACTGCCTAATTGAGGGTAGTTTGGTAGGAACAGATTGCTCTTAGATAATTAACAGATAAACTACCATATTGAGTTTTGCATAAAACCATGATATTACATCTTTTATTGGCTCTAAATCACCTATTTGTGGTAGTTTTTGTTGGACAAAAGTGCTTGACGGCAAAATATGTTACAGTAGCTTTAACTCTGCTAGAAAGCTTGGCCATGTATATTGTATAGTCCAGCCTTTACACTAACAGACTGCCACATTTTTTGTTTGCTGTCCTCTGCCTTTGTGAGACTAGCTTGTCAACCAAACTGATATGTTAACCCATTAACGAGCCCACCCCTTGGAACGAAATGCTTTGAAAATGGCCGTGCTGTCAAATAACAAACCCCTCAAAAAAAAAAAAAAAAAAAAAAAAAAAAAAAAAAAAAACCGCTTTCGTTTTCTGAAATCTCTAAGATGGCCCAGCCTAGGACAGTATGTTTGCTTCCCCTTAGTGTGATGGATAAGCCATAAAATTGCCTCCCCGCTATTGAATGGCAAGAAGTACTTCTTGGCTTTAGTTTCATCTCTCCTCTTTCTTTGTACTTGTAGTTTGTCTTTTAATATGTGACGTCCGAATTTTCGGAAATCTTTTTAGGATTTTAGCTTCCAAGCTTGTAAATTTTCAATGATTCGACATGTTTTATTGGGCAGTATTTTAAGAAAGATCATTATTTATTTTGTTACACAATTTTTTTACTATTTACTTATCTATTTTACTTAGTTTTAGTAGGCCAATTTATTTTGGGAAAATAAATTTTAATCCATTCTTTTACCAATTCAGTTTTCATCACATTATAAGTCCATATATATTTACGATGAGAGTACAATATTTATCAGGAATTTTTGGAAAATTTGGCATATGTATTTATAGTTTAGCGTTGAATTTTTTCCACAAGTTGTTCGTTAACAGTCGAGCTCATCTTCGTAAACGCTTGATCTTTTTAGCATAGAATTGGCAAGCAATAATCTTCGTAATGTTTTTCGGGATTTTATAGCAATTTCCTAGAATTTTGGTTGATTTTCTACAAATATTTTGGTAAGTTTAGCTATTATACAGTTGCTACTAATGTGATATTTAAAACCAGAAATGTATTCCTTCGTTGATTTGAGAGATCACATTTTCGAATTTAAATGGAAGTTTAAATGAATTTAATACAATCTTACCACAGACTAGAAAAAATTCATTTCTCTGTGTTGGATGGATTTTCTCACTTTCTCGCATTTTATACATTAAAGTGCATAAAGCAGACACGCACAAAAATCCCTTTTGATTCTTACAGTTTCAGTTAAATGAATTGTAATATATATATATATTTTAACTTTCAAAATGTATTTACTCATTTATGCATAAATTTAAAATCGTGGGACTTCCACTTTACAAATTATATGACTAAATTGCAGTATTTAAGCTAATAACTGAAAGTATAGTACTGAAATGACATAGAATATAAAAATAATTATAGTCATTTAAATAAATTTCTATTCTATTGTAGTCTATTTAAATAAATTTCTATTTTCATTTAAAATTTGTCATTATTAGCATCTCCTGCAGTTTTATGTAATCATAGGATTTTCCGAATTCTATTAGGTCCTTAGCATAATTTCAAGGCCTAATAGCAAAGTGATAATATGGAAAGACTATGTCTTAAGTACCAATACCCAAGTATTTGTAATTAAATAAAATGAAAATAAATATTGAATAACAGCCGCTTTTTTATTATTTTAGTCATATACAAAAGATAAACAAAATACTATTACATCTAAGAATTATTTAGTAAATTATTTTGCTAATTTTATATGAATGAGGAAACATGGTAAAAATGTTTTAATGATTGAATTCACCGTTAAAAATCAAACAAACCCCAAAATTCCTTTTTCCCAAAACGGCGTAAAAAGTTTTGATTAAATATGATTTGAATGAGTTTTCCAATTCTGTTTTGAGTAACATAAATTAGGATATAAATTATTATTAGTAATAATTTTTATATTATTACTTAGCAGAATATTGTTTACCGTTAAAAATTATATCTAAAAGAATTAAATTTTGTAAAAGAATAAAAAATATAATTAACTGTTCCATTTTTTCCTTTATGCATCTATTTATATAAAAATGGAATCTGGCTAGGGAATTTACGACTTATATATGAAATAAAAATTGGTATCTTGACAAAACTTGTCAGAATATAAAAAGCGTATATTCTGTGATATTAGTGTATTAATCATACTTCTGTATACGTAAATGCAGTTTATAATTACCAGCATAAGTATCATAATGGATTTTATTAAAATGACGAAAACTGAATGCATGATCCTAGCATTATCAAACTACGGCTCTTTATCCCGTTAAGTATTGCTTGGGTCGTAACACGAGTTTTATTTTTGAAATATTATTCCAAATAAAACAGGAAGCATTAAACGATATGCATTTTAAACAGTTTTAATTTTTTATATGCATAGAAATGTTAAGTAGCTTTAAATTGTACTTCATTTCTGAAACTTCTGCGGTACTATTTTTAGAACAGATCAAGGACTTTAAAGAACAAATACATTTTAGTAATATGCAACGTTAATGATATAGTTCAAATGTTATTGAACAGCTGTACGATTTGTAACTGGCACTGGAAGAAGTAACATTTATGTGATGATCCAGTCTTCATTTAATGAATTAATAGAGAATGATACAGGGTGAGCTGCTGGTCAGCATGTTAGTTAAGAAAGTTAAACTACTTTCTTTTTTCCCACCGACAGTGAGGCAGCCAATCCACTGGGGCTGTTAGCATAGGCAAACTACTATTTGCTTGTAGAAAAACTGTACTTAAAGCTTACAGCTTATTTTAAATAAATTTCGTATACTAATTACAGCTCCCCCGAAAAGCTCTGTTTTCTATCTTATTTGTTTTAGATTTCAGATTAAAGGAAAATAATCAGTTCTGTTTCTCAGAGACGGGATTCCTGCCTGTTTGTTTTTTTGTGGTTTTCTACATGTGTAATCCAGTTTTCCCACTGAAAAGGCTCCACGAAGCCTATAGCTCTCGTAAATAAATAGTGGAAAAAAATACCAAATTCATGTAGATTTTATGTAAAGTAACATCGATTGATCGATGTGTATCTTTTGCATTGAAGAGGGGAAAAAAAGAAACTGCAAGTTTTGATACCATTAGGAGTCATACATTAAAAAATGAATTCTTCTGTCTAGTAGAAAAGGTTATGCTATTAGAATATGACAGAGTAGATGTGGGCTATTTGCATAAGGTGAGGAATGCTTTCGTGAAGGATTTTTCGTAGGAAAAGCTGACTCGTATTCGCATTCCACAGGTGGAAAACCACGAAAACAAATCACGCGCTCAACATTTTCGCCTGGGATCGAATACCGGTTGAACTACCAATTCGGCTGCCACAGGTAGGACCTTACACTTACAAAGAGCCTTTCGCTTAAGTGTTTATCACCTCTTTCCTTCCCTGATGTTAGGTTTTTGTTGTTATTAGGGGACGTTGTTTACTGTTGTTTGTTTTCAATGAATAAAGGCAAAGCAGAGAAAGCCTCTCAACCTGAAAGATAAAATGCCTTCAGGTAGGATTTATAGGAAATTGGTTCGCGTTCGTTTCATGCATCCAAATTTTGTTTATTTTCTTTCATTTAGCTCAAACATACGAGTACTCTCTATTTTTAAGAAAAGAATGTTTCTGGGGGAGTATTTTATAAGGGTAAATTACTTGTATTAATGTTACACATGGAGGGAAAATCACGAAAAGATCCGTACAGTTAGCTCGTTCATCAGTATTCGGAGCCAGGTTTAATTACTGTGGTTCAATGATCTTAATCACTTGTGTTCTAATGGGCCTCATGAGCTTTGCATTTTTGTTGATCAGGCTAATTTATGTTGAAATCGCACGAAATTTACCAAAATTAAAAAAACTGCTTTCTGATGAAATATTCGAGTAATTTTGATTTATCAGAAATTTCAAAATGTGTCAGGTTTCTGGAGTATGTGTACATGTGAGCATATAACATTTAAATTTAGTCATTTTAAACATAAATCAGATAGCATATCTTTTATGGTACATTGAGTAATCTTCAGTACTATGTAATTAATTCCCTAAATATGAAAGTATGTGAAACTTAAATTAGGAATTATAGCAAATCATTCCATAGAAAATATGCTATGGCAAGTATTAGTCTAGAAAGGATCAATTATGCATAATATTGTAGTAGGCATGTTAGGTAACAATTTGTCAGCAGTATAGATATCATTAATTTAAAGGAGATAATATGATATGTGTTCCTTTGTTTTAGCATAGTTCTTCTGCTCCCGTTACTTTTAAGCTAAACATATCATTTGAAATAATTTCTTTCTAAAATCAGAGGGATATTATTAACATTCTTTATAAATATAAAGTTTATCCTTTATTATATAAATAATTGAAATGCTTAAATTTGGCATTCTAATAAATATTTTATCTTAACTTTCTGAAAAATTGAATTTATTTTAAAATGTATAAAAATGAATTAAATTCTGAATTTTTTCCAGTCTTATGATAATAAAATTTTAGAATCATCAGTTTGTATATCCGTATATATTATAAGAAAGTATCTCATTATTTTTTGAGGGCTCTTGTGATGTAATTGATAGTAGATCGGACTAGCAGTCAGAAGGTCTGCGGTTCGTGTCCGTGCAAAAGCATAGAGCATTTTTCGTATTTTCTCCTCAGAAAAACGGAATGTATGGAAACGTGATAGACAATAATTCGTGAACACATGAATTAGGCCGATAGAGTCTCGTGTTTCTTCTCTTTCGCCCTATGAGAGGGAAAAAATAAGGAATTATGCCATTCTCCTTATCTTGCTAAAAATGGGTGTTCTTCCAATTAGAATTTGGAAGACATTGTTGGTAGAAGAATAATTACAGCATTGCTGAATTTTCGCATTTCTTGCTTACTTTTTCTGGTATCGCTTTTCCATTACAGTATGTTGATAGGTGAAAACAACCCGTAAAACGTTTTTTTACATAATTTACGTTCAATACATTAAAAACACATTTTCGGAATTAAACTTCCTACATATGGGTTCCCTCTTTTTGATACTTCTTAAATTATTAGGGGATAATATAATCAATATTTCTTTAGTAAAAATTATTATTATCTTACTTTGCGCAAATATTTAGAAAAACGTCTTTTCGAGCTAAGTGAATTTAGATCATTCAACATATATATATACACCGCATTTTATAATTTCATTACACAAAAGTTTTATACCTTAGAGAGTATATCTTTTCTAGTAGATTTTGTATTGCTTGAATTTTGAGGGAAAAGGAAAGTCAAGAAAAAGGAAAAAAGGAAAGTCATAAAGCCTCGAGGGCTATCTGCCTAAGGGGAGGAATGTCTTTGTGGAGGACTTTCTAAGGGAAACTGGCTCGTATACACGTTACACATGGGGAAAACCACGAAAACGCCCATGCAGCAGCCCCGTTCACGGGGTTCGAACCTCGGACCGAACTAACAGTGTTCATCGACTTTACCACTCGGCCGCTGGTGGGTCTCTCTTTAATGACGAATTAACACCAATAGATAGGCTGTTTTCTCCCGAAGGTTCGGTCTTTCTGTAAACGATTAGGGGAAACTGGAAAAGCAATAAAATGATTTTTCACTCATGAATCGGCATCTTCAAGAAGCATCGACTCCCAGTGAGTAAAAGCGACCATCTGGTAAGATGTATTTTAGCATAAAATGGTTTGCAAATCCAAATAACATTAATTTTGAGAAATTTTTATAGATGCAATATATAATTCTTAGATAAAAGTATAAAAGTAAGTAAAAGGGAGCGATATAGGGTGTTTTTCGCTACTTTGAATTTTTAGAATAGGGCCTGAAACATATTACTGTCGACCCTGTATTTAGATTTGCTAACTTTACACGCGGTTTGCACGCGATATCTATCTTCTAAGATTGGAATATTTCACTTCTGGCAAACTTTCTAAGGAAAACTTACATGCGTTTAGGTTTACATATAGAGAAAACCATGAAAATTCCATGCAGCTGATCTGTTCCTTCGCTGAAAATAGAAGCCTAGAAGAATTGATAGTGTTGTGTTGCTTTAGCAACTAGATTTCTCACTTTGATTTTGGCATTAGAAATATAATTACAAAGATCTCCACTAGAGGAGATCATAATTCATTATTTTTTTCACACGTATAAAATCTGGTTAAATATGTTTCCTCATTTATAAATTACAGAAGTTTTTTTTTTCCAATAATTTCTGATATTTTAAAGGAAAATTTTCATGTATTTTTTTTTTTCTTGTAGCAGGTTTAAATAGTCGTTGATTGAAACCACACTAATTTTACCTAACAATCGGAAAATGACACAAATGACGTGAACTCTTTCATAATTATATTACTCATTAGCATTAAAAAAAAACTTAACTTGGGTTGAAGATTACCTCAGAAGAGTTTTTTTTAATTTCTTAATTTAGATGCCATACAGTCTGGTAATACATATCTTATATAATACATAATAATAAGTCTGGTTATACTACAGCCATATCAGTGGCCAATAAGACATGTAAATATTAGTTGTTCGGTTTGTATTCAAACTCAGACGAACGAATGCGATGGCTGTGTGGTATTTTTCCATGTATAACATGAGTATGAGCTATTCGTTAAAAAGTCCTCTATGAAGGCATCTTTCTACTTAAAAGCAGATAGTCCTCGTGTGTTTTGCTGTATTCAAATAATCCTAGCCTTCAAACTACGACACCTATCACTCTAAATCAAGAGATGAAGTTTTCTAACAAGATTTTTAAATCGGGCTGTGGGGTTCAGTGGCCAATCGCTAAAACCGCTGAATACTGGTAATTCGACATGGGTTCAAATCCGAACAAACGGGCTTGTTCTGTGAAAGTTTTCCAGGGTTTTTCTACGTTCAGTGTGGATGAGATCTAATTTCCCTTAGAAATTCCCTCCATGATAGTTTCACTCCTCTTACGCAGATTCCAAATCCATTAAATTTTCTTTATTAAATACAATTATAATTCTTTCTTTTTAGAGAAATCTCAGGGAAGAAAACTGTAAACATCAAATTGAGTGCGATTACGAATATTTTAAAATAGTTAAAATTTTGAGCGGGAAAGCTTTTTTAATACGTTCATAAGCAACTGATAATTAGGGGAAGAAAAACATTTTAAATTGGCATAAAACTTTGTCGCTTTCTACAATAATCTATATAAATGCATTTTCAAAAACTTCTGCTGAAATATGAAGAGTGGTATTTGTAAAGCATTTATTAGTGAGATCTGTAATTATATACTCAGCTTTTAGTTTTCATAACCTTCCAGTCGTTAGAATCAAGTCATTAAACGTAAGGGGGGGGGGCGAAAAAGGAATTTTAAAGAAAAGATTATTTTTACAAAATGAAAATTTCCTGAGCTAGTATAAGTAATTATGTAAATCAAATAATTAAATATTTTCGAAAATTTTGTTGACTTCCTCTCTCAGTCTTACCAATATTTCTGTATAAATACAGAACATAATTAAATATCGATAAGGAGTATCATAGATAGTGGAGGCATATAGAATGAGCATCGCAATATATAATTGTGTTTGTCGCAAAAGCAGCCACTTTAATAAATGAACAGAACTGTCGGGAATCGCATATGAATGTCACATACATGCTTTATAATGCCAAGAATGTTACGAAAGTGACGGTTATGTGATATCAACAATTTACCGAACTTTCCAAAATGTTTAAAAATATATATTTAAGAGTCAGCAAGTTTGTTTAAAAAATTGTATGCATTTCAATCACGGTGTTTTGTCGCTATAATCAGAAGCTCGTCATCGAGATTTAGTCTTTTTCTCGATAAGCTACTGAGTTCAAATTTTGTACTCACACCGTTTACGGATGGAAATACGGCAAGGTAAACCAAGTTTTATAAAATTTGATTTAGAGGTCTTAAAATTTAATGTTGAAAAAATGTTTTGCGCATATTTCCATTTAAAGGATAAACTAAAAATCTCACAGATTTTAAGTTTGCATCACTTTACAGAGCGTAAAATAGCTTTTGAAATAAAATTTGCATAAAATTAATATAATTTCTAATTTTGGGCGAATTTTTGAAACTTTATACTTTTATGATGAGGTAAGAGGAATTTTGGAAGTAAAAGACAACTAAAAGGAGAAAAATAATTTGTCGTACAGATTAATGGGAGTAAGAGCCCCTTTGAAAAATTCCTGTACAGTTTTATAACAAGAATAATAGATTCTTAAATAACAAAATCAAATAATCGAATCGCATTGTCAAAAGTATAAGATTTATAAATTTATCAAGAGAGCTGCTTGTTTTTTTATTATTCGTGATATAAATTTGTAGAATTTTTTTAAAGGGAATTATTTAATCACGTGTTCCCAATAAATTATATAATACATTATTTTCTCATTTTAATTCATTAATAATTTTATGAGTCATAAATAAAAATTTATTTTATAAAAGCTTGTTTATTTTATTCAATACTTGTTCTAAAACAGAAATTCTTAATTCCTTTTATATATACATTCACTTTGTAACTGGTAATAAATTTGTTTCCTTAGAGTAAGTGTAAGGCCTTTATCTCAAAACATCAAGAAGACTTCTCCCCGCGCTAATGACAGCCATTACCCATTGTCGTCAGGGGTGGCCCCTTGTCCCCTTAGGCAATGGGGGGTTGGAAGACGTACAAAAATATGGGCTAGACGTTTTTGGCGCATTTTTCCGCTATTACAAAAACACGGGAAGATCCGTTTTCGAGGGTACATTTAAACTAACAATAATCCATAGCGAACCGTTAAGAGACCTGCATAAAAGAACGAGAAAATCCGGGTCAAACCGTTAATGGGTTAATTCACTGACAGATTTCTTTGTATATAAAACAGCTTAGAATTTTGGTACAGTATTTGAAATCTGCTTGAAAGTTGGCAGGCATTTATTGATGCAGATGGTGTGTAGTTTTGATAGTGATCATATTTTAATTTTATCCAAAATAAATATTCATCTTATACTGATGTGGTGTTCAGAACTTTTCCATTAATCCAGTATGTGAGAAGACTGCAACACATTGACTAATTGTATTTTCCATTATCTGTCCCACTTGGTTTTTTTACTTATTTCCTTGACTGGCTTTTAATTTGATAGAATTATGAGCTATCACCTTACTTTTACCTTACTGCCATGTTTGCTATAGTTGGAAATAATTTGAAAGATATATTGTAAAATTAATGATATCGTGAAACTGATTATCTTTATTATGTGTGCATTGTAAAAGTTTACATTTAAAGTGGCTATTTTCATTTTCATAAAATATGGCAGTTTAGTGCTACTTTTAGAATGTGTGTAGCCATGGCACATTAAAGTGCATTTTAGTGAATGCTTAATAACGCTTTTCTATTGCAACTGTTTTTGCGTATGTTAACTAAGTAATAATAATCTCATTTCCTTTCTTTCCCTTTAAACTGTACAGTATATTCATGGGATAATGGTAAATATTTAAAGTATTCTTAAATACTGCTTATTTCAATTTGCTGTTTTGATATAATGTAAAGCTCATAAATAATGCAACTACTCTTTTTTTTTTTTTTTTCAGAACCAAGAAGATATCTTGAAATTGGGTCGAACAATATGGGGTATTGTAGGTGTAGGAAGTTCAGGCATTGATCATTGTATGCCACCAGTGAACAAAAGAATTATAACCACTACAAGATCGCATTCAAATCCAATTATCAATTCTACGATTGCAGCTTTACATCCTGATGAAGTATTGAAAGTGGGAGGTGCAGGGCATAAGGTACCAACATTTTTATGTGTATAAATTTATTTTTATTCAGTTGTGAAATTAACTCTTTTTATTAGTTACTTAACGGGCCAATGTTTGTTACAGTTTAATGTATCTTAAAATTGAAAACATTAAAATTTGAACTGAGCTAATTTTAAAATATTAATTATCTTTTATATAAATTAAATATTATTAAATTTTATATACAAATATTATTTATATTTTATTTGATTAATATATCTTTTTTTTCTGCAAATTGTTTGGTGACTAAGAATGTGTAACATTGAAGTACCTTAATTTTTTCTTATTATACGTTTCTAGAAGTGGTTATATTTCTTAAAGTCTGTCTATATATAAAAAAAAAAAAAAAGTCATTTTTCTGGTACACTTTGATGCAATTAATATACTATATACTTACTATGGATATTTGTATTCTTATACATTTGATTATATGAATTTATTACATATATCAGCTATAAATGCAAGATTTTGAAATTGTTATGCTTTGTAGATTTTGTAGAAATGTTCATACTTCAGTATTATAGCAGCTTTGGCAAGAAATAGACAGTTACTGGTACACACAAGTAATTCATTCAATGTCTGCTGTACATTAAGCTATTTAATTAAAATTTATATTTATTGTTTTATTAATACAATTTCATAAGGACTTAATTTAAATAAACAACATATAAAATATGCTTGAAATTTATTTTTAATGAACACTTTTGGCGAATGAACACACTAGTTCATCATTTGCTGCTAATAATGTGTGAGGCACATTATCATGGCCGAAATGATTACTGAGCATAATCTTTGGTAAGAAAAACTGCAGGTGATGATGAGCTGAATTCATGTGCCTTTTATTCCACTATTTTGTTGATCCTTGAGATGAAAGATTAAAAATTGTAATCATTCTAGATTGAAAATTTCATTTACTCATTTGTCTTTCTACGCTGGATTCTAATTTTTATATGCTGAACTATCTGGAATTAGGTATTTCCCAAGCTTTCTAGATAGACGAGCTTTTACTGTAATCATAAAAGGTGTTCACAAATTATGTAATGTCTTCAGAGTTGCCAACTCTCCTGATTTAGGCATGAGAGTCCCGATTTCTGACCGTCCTCCTGCCAACCCAGTTTACAACATATTTCTCCCGGCTTTCTCTTATTCTTAAAATTTCCCATGACTTTTATGTAGCTTGGCTTAATCATTTGTTATTTGTATCAAAAAAAAAAAAAAAAAAAGTAATTTTAGGCGTTTGAAAGCCAGGGCTGTGGAGTCAGTAGGGAAAACGACCGAATCTGACTCCAACTCCTGTAATTTTAATGACTATGACTCTGACTCCGACTCCTTCATATACATGTAAACATATACACATGGGTATGGCTTATTTTTTTATTATAAAAGAAGTAATAGATGCTACAGAAAAAAATTGATGCGTAGTAAATTTTTTATATTAATTGGCATTTATTATGAAATGGAAAAACTGGCATTAGTAATTTTTAAAAAACAGTAAAACTTTGGCAAGATCTTCTTTGTTAGAGGACAATAGATCAGATTTGATAAATTTCAGAACTGACTTGAGTAGGAAGAAGAGCTGTTACTGTTATGGCTACTTCCTTTAACTTTTCAGGATAGATTTTTGTAAGTTTTAAAAGAGGTGTCTTGCAAGAACAATCATATTTATCTATTTCTTAAAATAACGAGTTTTTGTTTGTATTTTTTCATTTTTTAATCTAAGGCGCTTGGTTCTTTATTTTCATTCGCTTTATTAGCCTTTTCAATTATCCAATATTTCTCAAATCTAATCATCAGTGAAGAGATGATAGAGACTCGTGCAATATCTGCAGTCGATTGTCTGATTGATTACTCTTGTTCTAAATTTCATCTTAATGAAAGTTCATAGATAGCTTTCTTTTGCCTTTTTGTTTGTCATGCAAAACATTTGCGTTTTGGATCTACATATATTGAACCCAGCGCGATGTTATTGTCTAGCAAACTATTTTTGCTTTTCTTCATTAAAGAAATGATTCATTCTGAAATAAACCCTTCATTTCAGAAAGAACAAACCTTACATTCTTCCAGTCTTGCCTCTTGTTACTTCTCAGATTGTAGCTTTTTGATGCTATATACGTTATAGAAAGAAGAGTTTCCAATTCTTCAAGATCATTCCACTGTCATTCTGTTAGTGAAACATTAGGGTTATCTATACCTAACATTCTCGTCCCCTGTTAATTCTTTAGGTTTTAGTTTTTTTGTGGCTATATGCGGTGTTGAAGAAGGTTTCCAGTTTGCAAGATCCCACAGTCTCTGTTATGAATTTAGGATTATTTACATCTTCTGAAAGTTCTTAATCCAACAACCACGATATCTCATCAATATGTACTTCTCCATGTGTTGCTCCTGTCCTCTCGCTTCCTAAAATGGCATCATTTTGGATTTCTTTCTTCTCTTTCCTAAATTCACCAATGAGATTAGTAACTAAATGAATCAGTTTAATCAATAATGGCAAATATCACATCCATCTTGCTCTCTTGTATTTATCTACCAATATGTAAATAAAATAGAAAATAACTATTTATAAATGTATATAGTCTATAAAAATATCATCTCAGTTTGTTATTATTTTTTTTTTCCAATTCACTTTAATTTCATTTCAAATTCAAACTGTTCAAAAACTGGAGTCGGAATCAGCGTGTTTTTTAGTGGCTCCACCTCTGACTCCTTTTACCCCAAAATCTACCCAACTCCATGACTCCGACTCCACAGCCCTGCTGAAAGCACTTGGTGTCTCTCTGTATTACATATGAAAGGAAGCCAAAGTTGTTTCATCAGTGAGAAATTATGGCACACTTCTGCTTTGGGAGTGAGAGCATATGTATCTGAAAATGTCTTGTTCCACTTCTCCAGTGAGCATCGGGCACTACTGCATGTCATCTGGCATATATTAGCCAATGAGCACAAAGCAAGATCAAGGTTGTTATTTATTCATCTTACCGCTGATCAATGTGAGTGCATGTGATTTCGATAAATAATTTAAGAAATTAGGATCTTTTGTTTTAGTTATGTTTGCAAAAGAGGTAAAACACTCATACAGTTTTTAAAAATCATACACATATGACTTTCCTTCTATCATTTTCTCAAGGAAATGTAATAAATTTGCCATTGCGATGTTTCGCACAGTGGAAAGGCTGAAAATCATACACAGATGACTTTCTTTCTATCATTTTCTCAAGGAAATGTAATACATTTGCAATGTGTACCATTTTGTCATTGCAATGTTTCAGTTTTGCACAGTGGAAGGCTGATGTTCTCAAACATTCTGTATACAAAAACATAAGGACAACATGAATTTTATTTGAAAAAAGGGCAAATCAAATTTTTATATGGAAACATAGGACCAAAAAGTTATTAATGCAGGAATGTTTGTTATCTGCTTTATTTACTGGAGCACAAACTGCCACTGAATACTGCAGCTTTATTTAGAAAAATGTTTTCTAATAGCAAAATTGCTAAGAAATATTGAAGTGCAAGGACCAAAATGGCTGAAGTTTTTAAAGAAATGGGTATGAAAAATAAATCGTCTATTATTGATTGCATTAAAACAGTGTTATTCTATGTCTCTATGGAAAGAAGCAATATTACCGATTCAAAACTGTATCCAAGTGTTTCTTTTTTTAATCCAGTGTTAAAACAGATTATTAAAATTTATGAGAAAATTCAATTCCTCTGAATAATTCCTTAGAATGTGGTGCCAATAATGCACTAGTAATGGTAGAAGATTGGTTTTCCAGTTTTACTTCATTTAGTCATGAAAGATAATGATATTGATGTTGCAATTCGTTAATTACTGTCAAGATTTTACAGTTTACAATTAGAAAACTTGAATAAAGTTTCAAAACCAGCTAGAATTGACACCCAGTGGAGATTAATTGGAAAACTGAAAGATGCTGTTGGAATTTTAAAGGATATTGAACTGTCTAGAATAATATTGGCCATCCTGGACAATTTGTCAAAGTAATGCAGAGTGGAGAGGATTTTCAGTATTGTTGCAAAAACAAAGACTAAATTTAGATCTAATATTAGTGATAACACATCAGAAAAACTTTTATTACAAAACCAGGCCTACTTGGCAATTGCTATGAGCAAAATTATGAAGTTTTTTTAAGGAAAACCTGCCATTGTTGATAGCATTTGTATAAAAACTGATTAAAGTTTTTTTTTTGTTTTTGTTTTTGTTAAAAGATGCAATTAATAAAAATGCTTTTTACATGTAAGTATTTTTGTACTGTTAACTCATTATTAAAAAATATATTTTTATCATTAAAAACTCTTTTTGTTATTGAGAAAAATCTCCTGATTTTTGAGTTTCATAGGTTGGCAAGTATATATCTTGTTAAGTTGCTTAAAGCTTGTCTTTAAGTTGCTTCAAAAAGTGCCATGCTTATTCTGTGGGTAAAATATATATTAGTCTCTCAAAACTAAAAGGTGGCTAAAAATAGTGATGGGATTTGTTATTTATCTTGTTATACTGTTGATTTGAAATATTTTTAACATCCCAGAGAAGTATTAATGTCTTCATTCTGTGGTTTATGTCAAAAGTTCTATATTCACAGTGTCTGAAATTTTCCTATGAAAATATGATGTTCAGTGGCATATCAAATTGAGTCACTTGAAATGTAAATTTTATTTTTGTATTTTAATAATACTCACAAAAAGTGTTATAACATTAACAAAATATATTGAACTTTTATAATCTGACATTGAAGGAAGCAGAAAAGTTCTCAACAGTAAAAATCAGCGGTACATATTATTGCAACTATCTTGGCGCAGTTTGGCTACATTTTTTATTTAAGAAGAAAGGTGATGTCATAATTGCAAGAAAGTTATTATGTGCATATTTTATATTTTAAGTAGGTAGCTATCTTAAAAATCAATGAATAAATGTAAAAAGCGAGTTTTTGTTTATTTTGCTGTAGTAAAACTTTTGCAGGAATCATTGCAAAAACAAATTTAAAACAATTGTTCCCTTTACTGATTTTGCAGCAAAATGCAGTATTCATGTGGAAATTTTAAAGCAGTTTCTTCATTGCAGTTAAATTTCATAAACAGATGTTTTAAGCAGATAGCAGACTTGTTGCCTATCTAGAGAAACTAAGCTTCGCAACAACAAAGATGCTTTTAATATTGCGAATTAAATCATGCTTAATCCACTCTGGAATTTATTCGAGGGAAATAAGTGTTTAAGATTTACTTCGTAATTTTTAATACAGATATTTTGAGTTTTTATGTATTTTTGCTTTCTCACGAAGTGAGAACTGAATTAATTGAACGAGAAGTACTGAATCGTCTGTGAAAAACTTTTTGTTTGCTTAATTTCTTTTATACACCATTCTAAATTTATTATAGTATTTGAAAGAACATGTGGCAAAGATTAGATAATTCTTCAAATGATATAAATTTTGTGCATTCTGAGTTATAATATGAACGAAATATAACACTGTTAAATGAACCTAGCGCCAAAGTGTCTCTATGGGAAACAAATATAGTGAATTTTAAAGAGTGTATTTATTCTATTGTGATTTATGCACTATTGACAAAGTACATTTGATTCAATCCAATAAGTTTAAATGAAATGCAAGAAAGAAAAAATGCGTATAATTTAATATTCCGTACAAGGAAGTCATGTGGTGTACACATCAGATTTTTTATTTTATGTTTTCATTTTCAAATTGATTACTCTTAATTATTATTATAATTATTTTTATGTGGCCTTTGTTGCATTTGTAGTAGATCAGTTATAAAATCTTCTATGCACAAAACAAATTCATTTTCATACTTCATTAATGGTTAATCAGTAAAAGACAAAAGCAGTGTTCACTAACAGGACATTTGACTGATATGCCATTAATACAATGACGCACATTAACAAAATATATGTTCTCGGTCCATGCCTGCAACACCAGTTCTGTTCCTCAGTTTGACAAGATTAATCTTTTCATTATATGAGTTATTTGCACATAGTTCCCCAAAATCTGATATTCAGCAGCATTAAGCTTTAAGGAGTTCCGGAATGAGTTAATATGTCCAATTCACTTTTGTGGAAACACAAAATGTTGCAATGTGTGGTAATCCTGTATGCTGGAAAGGATCTAATGTGTTTAGATTTCCATTACAATTTGGAAAAAAATCCACCGTTATTATTATTTTTTTTAATATCCTAAATAGAAATGTAAGAAACAATTTTCTTTTTATAGGTACTATTACTTATTGAAGGTAAAGCCCATGCTTATGTGTTTCCAAGTAAGGGCTGTAAAAAATGGGATACTTGTGCTCCGGAAGCTTTGCTGCATGCATTTGGAGGCAAACTGACAGATATTCATGGACAACCTTTGCAATATCATGCACAAGTTGAGCATGTTAATTCCTCTGGTGTTTTAGCAACATACTTAGAATCTGTACATGACTGGTATGTTAAAAACATTCCTAAGGAAACTAAGGAATCTTTATGAATTATTTATAAAAAAAAAAAAAAAAAAATAAGATTGCATATTTATATATAAATTGATTATAAATATTAGATGTTCATATTTTTTTGTATTGGATGTTGCTTTTAAATATTTGATATATAAGTACATGTGTTTATTTTTATTTTGCATTAGATAAATTATGTTTAAATGATAATTATAATAGGAAAGAAAAAATCATATTTTATACAAATTCTTTCCTCCCTCCCCCACTGGGAAAGGAAAGAAACAAACATTTTCATCTTTAAACCATACAAAGTTATTTGAATTTTTATTTGATAATTGTAGTTTAAATTCTGAACACATTTTTAAACCCTTATCGTTCACCATATCACTTTAAAATTTGCATCATAAAAATGAAAAAGTGAAACTGTATGTGTAATTTCTAAAATGTTTTTCATACTATATAGAAAGTTGGCTGCTTAGTATTTATATGGAACAGTATAAAGTCAGAAATCTAGACATTCAGTGACTGGAATAATCTCAAGTAATCTATAATCCAGAACTCTTATAGGCTTTTTTCCCTATCTGATATGGGTGTAACAGCAGCCGAGTGGTAAAATCGCTGAACACAGGTAGTTCGGTCCAAGGTTTGAATCTTGCTAATGGACTGGCTGCATGAGTGTTTTCCATGACTTTCCGTATGTGTAGCATGTATATATGAGCTGGTTTTCTTTTGAAAGTCCTCCGCAAAAGCATTCCTCCTCCTAGGGAGATAGTCTTTGAGGCTTTGCCATAATCACATCTTTAGGCAGAATACTTTTTTGAAGAAATAAGTTTTAAGTACTTTTATCTGTTGGCAAACTGCAAAACTCATTTCAATAAAAAAAATTTGATTAGATGGAAAGCATAGTTCTATTACGGAAAATGCCAAACCAAACTGTTGATCAGAGAATATGTCAAACAATGAAAAGTGTGAAGTGATATGGTTTTAAGGAAAAATAACTGCAATTTTTTCGACTATTTAAATATGTCTTAAGTGAAGACGATATAACTGAAGTCTTTATTGTGATCGTGATGTTCCAGTCTTTAACGAACAAACAGTACGGTTTTAAATCTAGATGATCTTGTGATTGATAGTGCAAATGATAAGAGAAATAGTAGAGAATGCATACACAAAAACTGCTTAATATAAATTAATCTTTTAAATACTGTTAGATCATATAATTAAAGGAATTAAAATTATATTAACTGCTGTTATAAATTAACTGTGCAATTAAAATCATTTTGTATTTGATACTTTTCTAATTTATCTATTAAATCAAATACTAGATTGCATTTAACAGTGTGATGACTGCCAGGCTGTAACACAAAATCTACTTTTATCTTCTGTTAAATTTCTTCTGTTCAATGTAACATTAAAAAAATAAAACTGTATTTATTTGCATGATTACTGAATTTTATTATAATGCATTCATAAGTCTCAAGAGTAATGATTTTAAAGTTTACAATTGAAGACCTAGGGGGAAAACTCTTTGTCTTTTTTATGTGTGAAATTTGAAGTAATAATGTCACCATTTAGCAGGCAATAGGAATATCCTCTACGTTATGAATCATATTTGCAACTGCAATTGAGGAAAGATTTTCCATACTGTAGAAAAACATTTTTTGTCCATGCTTCAAGAGGGATGAAGCATTTATGTTTAACTTCCTTTATCAGACTTATTCATGTTCCTTTTCTTCTAATAGCTTATTGGTTTCATCTATCATCACATCAGTAATGCTCGGAAACATGGATGTTTTCTGCCACAGGGAAGAAAAGGTTATGAAAGTTTTTAAAGAAACCACATGTCGCCTTTTCAATAACTTTCTTAGATTTGTGATAGTAAAAAACAAATTCTCAAAGCTTTTAATAAACTTAAGGAATTATAATATCCAAAATCATTATTTTGTCAGATCTTTACTTGCATAATGCATCTTGTTCTCGCCGAGTATGTTGTTTCCAATACGGGCAATGTAATGATATGCAAGTTTCTGTAAATGCATTTGCTTCATTTTGTGGCACTACAAAAATTATGGGGGAAAAAAAAAAAGAGAGAGAGAGAGAGAGAATCTTTTGGTCATTGACAGAATAGCAGTTGTAGATTGCAGAGGAAGACATACTAACTGAAAACATGCAAGACCTGAGTAAGCGATTTTTCAAATAATTGAATTTATGAGCTCCTTCAAAAAGGAAAAAGTTTCATTATTTCTTTAAAAAGAGTCGGAAGATATACCTGCCAAGAGTTAACATCACAAAATCTAGTATAAAGCAAATAATCCGAACAATGCACTGTCATATGTAAAATTCAGACATTTTTAATTCTAAATTTAACATCGGATTTAATTACACAGGAAAGGACACTTGTATTGCGATATATTAAAAGGAGAGAATTTGGAGAATAAAAGGAGAAATTTGCTGAAATATAAGAAAACGCAAAACTGATTTAAGATCTAAAAAATAAAATGATGGAAAAAGAACTTCATTTGAGGAAAAGCCAATTGACAGTAATGGAACAGAAGAAACTGGATAAAAAAAAAAGAATTTTAGTAAACTAAAAAAATGAAAAATCGTTTCTCTCCTATTTTGTCTACTTAGTAAAAATGATACAAAATTGTATATAATATATATTGTTCATAATACCCTACCCATTTCTTTAGATAAAAGATGTAGATAAGGAAGATTTAATTAGATAAGGAATTGTAGTTTTCCTGTCAATGGATATAAAGGTTTTACCCTTGGGACTTTATGCATATTTTAGTACATTATCAGATAGAAAATCAGAGTTGTTATAAATTTGTTGATCTTTCACTGCTTGTTACAGTTCAACAACACTTTATGTATTCATATACATGTACATAATCATATTTTTAGAAAAAAATTATTTATGTAATGCAATCTTATTTTAAGCTTATACATTTAAAAATGTTTGTAGTGTTAAATTTATTTAAAAAATATAAATATTTTCTAAACCTTTTTTTGATAAATATATACCAATAATAAAACTTATTTAAAAGTTAAAAATGTTATGAATTTTATTGCAGAAAACAAGACTTACTGGAACTTTTACTTCTGTCCATAATTTAACAGCCTTTAAATTTCTTTTCAGTTACATTTGAAAATAATTCAAAACTGATAACAGGAGGAAAAAAATTAATTGGAAAAAACAATAAATAATACATAACAAACACATTCCTCAAGATTTTAAACTATGCAACTTAGCTGTATTTTCATAAATATACTGGAAAATACAATGGCATTATTCTGTCTTTAACTTAAAAGTTTATAATTTTCTTGTAAGGTAAGCCTCATAGCAATATTTGGCATTTTCCTCACCTAACAATCTACCGAATTTTGTTAGTTACCTAGTTTTATAATAGATGGCATCACCTCTTTTTCAGACAATATTTTGTTTGTAAAAGTAATGTTTATGCTTATTGTTTCACTCACATGCAATTTTTTTGTTGAATTTGCGAAGCACTTTTAAAATTCTTAAGGGAGATAAATTTTTTATTTGTATAATTTTGTATATTTTTTTAGTTGTCCTACTACAATTTCCCTCTTTAATTATATTATTTCTGATATTATGTTGTAGTATATGCTATGTACACAGTTGCAGTTATTATATTGTAGAGGGATTTCCTTGCTTGGATTCCAAATTACTAAATAATTTAAATGATTTGGTTTATTCTTCAATCCTGCAAGGACAGGTTTAAAAAAAAAATTAGCCTATTTATATATAGTTTTTAAATTTTTTTTTTTTATATTTATATAAAATTGTTCAGAGCATCAGTATTTCAGAAGCCTTTTGCTGCTATTCGCAAGAGGTGGTATGGACAACCTCGAATGAATATTAATTGGATTATGCAATTTGATAAATGATGTTTACACATTATTACATCTCCAACACATTATTTGCATTGTTTGAAGAAGATAATTATTTTTTTCCATTCTATACCTTTGCTTATAAAGTATCCATTTATACAATTAAAAATACCCTTTCCAGTATTATTCCTGCATTCTAAAATAGCAATCTATGAAATATTTATGTCTCTTTTCTTTGCTATAATGTGTCATTACATTTGTTATCATTACTTCCATCAGTACAACAAAAGATGCACTTATTTTACAATATCAGCAGTGGTATTTTCTCCAAGCATTTTCACAATTGCTTTTGGTATGGCAACAGCAAAATTTTTTTTGCCAAGGCAGAATGCAGAAACATTGCATTGAAAAGTTATTTCGAATGGTCCAAAACTGAAATCGGTAGATCGTGTTCAATTAAAAATCTAACAAAATAGCATTTGGCTTTTATAGTATCCATTTAATCATCTTTATGAAGAAATTTGTCATTTCTTTATATTTTACAGTGTTAATCTGTAATAGTGAGGAGTCTATGTAAATATATTTATTGATTTTAACTTTCTATTTTCTATACAAGTTACTTTGAGAGAGGATTGATTATCTTGACCTTTAGTGTTTGACATTACAGGTGTAATATGAAAATTTAGAAATTGTTTAGTACATTTGAGTTTTTATCCAAAGTACAGTAATGGCATAATAGTAGAGCAAGCTTTTGCAGCTATTTAAATTAGGCAACATTAAAGTATCCATGTAACATTTTGAAACTTCTTTACAAAGCTTTTAATGAAATAACTATATAACTTTTGAAAATATACACACACAAAACAAACAAAATATTTATAAACCCAGATTTATTTAGATTTACAACAAACTTTACAATGTGAAAGTATCAGGAACTCAAGAAATGTTTTACCATGAAAACAAATACAATAAATGTTATATATTGTGAATTTCATCATTTCAGAACAAAATGATGTTATAATATGTAAAACACATTCCATTTTATGATCAAAATGTCATTTTGTTAAATACAAAAATTACAGGAAAATAACACTGTACAAATAATCCACAGCAAATAACTTAGCCCAAGAGCCAATTTCTGTGGATGTGATTCATTGTGCAACAATAAATGACAAAAATCAAAGATATGATTAACAGCTGTGGCCATGCTTCCATATTTTACACTTATTAACCATGAGATGCAAAACATAACAAATGAATATTTTATACAAACAAACACTTTAGTACAGCATATTGAATAGTACCCATTTAGGAAAAGATACAAAAATATTACAGTTCATTATATTAACAAACGTATTTACGGTGTCTTCATAAGGCCATATATAATCTTATAGAAAGGATGGAAAGAGTCACTTATCTAAAAATCATAGGTCAAGTTAAATACATTTGGAAATACAAAATGCAGCACCAATATTTCAAGTCAGTTCATCAGTTTTAGACAATCACAAGAAACTTATGCAAGCTATTGCCTAGGTATTCGAGTGCGTAAGTAGACATTTTTCTCTAAGCAGCCTTAAGTGAGTGAAAAATACAGCTATACATTGTACTCATTTAGTTTCACCTATACAAATATAAATTTTATACATTTCACTTTTGAAAGCAAATTGTGATTGGAACTTTTTTTCTGCAATATTTATCATGTTTTGTCTCCAAAAATAAACAATAGCAGTTTTGGTATGGACTGATTCCATTATTTTACAAATTGAAATAATAGTAGTTTATCCTTCATTTATCCTAGGCAGTGGTATGGACTTGCAAGATTGGCCTTCCACCCATTAGGCTAGTTTCCCTTAAGAAGCTCTCATTCAAGAAAGTTTCCTTCCTTTTTCACTTTTGCCATAATTATTCTAATCCATTCATATTTCTTAATAATGAAATTTATCTTTGGGCATTAAATAGCATAAAAAATTTACAGAATTTTTTTAGCTCACCATACTATATAAAATAACATATTTGAGATATTCTTTGTACACCAACAAAACATGTTCAATGTAAAAAATCAGAATTTCATTTTTTAACAACTTCCAACATTGGAAAAAAACTTGTAACATCCAACATTATGAATTACTTATTGCTACATCTTTACAAATATAAAAATATCTCTTCTGAAAAGCTAGATTTACTACAGTTTATATTCTTTGAAATTACTTAATATCATATGAATTTTTAGACTTAATTTCACTATGCACATAAGCATAATACCAACTTGAGAATCAGCTGCTTTTAATATATGTGCAAGTAGCCTGAAAAATTCTGAATAGAAATTAAAAAAAAAAAAAAAAAAAAAAAAAAAAAAAAATTCTAATTATATTTACAGGAACTAAATACATTTTATATCACATCAAGCATGCAGTACTTTGATTAAATGTATAAAACAGTGAAATTCGGTTTTTTTATACGGCAAAAATGAGCTTAATATTCAGTACAATTTATAAATTATGAAAGATGATGGATCCAAGAACCACTGAAAAATTTTTAAAATGTAATAATGCTATACAAACTTCTAAACAATTAGTTTTTTATTTATATTTTCTCTATAAGAAATATAATTTACCATTATGTTAAATTATCAAAAGTTTAACAGGTATAATGCAGATGTTTGTATAGAATAATTTCCCTAGAATAAATGATTAAATAATCACTATAAATGCCATTAAAATTTGCCAGCTGCAATTTGCATTTGCCAAAAACAATTGCTTTGTTTCACACAATTCTGCTTTCAAAAGTTAAAACCAATTTTCACTGGAAAATATATAAAACCTAAATGTTTAGACATTTCAGAATTAAATTTTTATCTCATATAACCTATCTAGTCTTTTTATGTAACCATAATACCAGACAAAATTTTTTAAAATAAAATTTTATATTTTATCTTTTCCTAAAGATTATTAAAATTTTCTTACTTTGGAGATCCAATTAAATAAAAATCAACATGTACATATTTTTACAGCTTAAAAATTTTAGAATGCCTCACAATATAAATTTTAGATGTAATAACATAGTCAATACATAGGTATGAAAGAAATTGACATATTCTTGGCAACACTATTGAGTTACTAATTTATTCAACACTTTGCTGGAACAACTTTATATTACTTCTTAATCACATTATTAACAACAGACCAAAACACAGTTAAAACAATAACAAAACACAAAGTAACATTAATTTCTTTGTACATTTAAAAATTTTTAATTGTACAGTTTGATTTTCAAGTAGGTTCAGACAAAAGCTGTTGAAGTAAGCTTTTCTTCTGATCAGCTGGCTTTGGCTCTTCCACCTGTGCCTTAACAGAAAATCATAAAATAATTATTTTATATATATAATTTATAATACAAATCAATTTTAATAAATTCTTTGCAGTCCCTTTTTCTTACTATACACAAAAGTGGAAGTCTCCACAGCTTTCTCCAAGTACAAACATATCCATCTACTGGGCATATCCACTTAAACTGATGTACTAATCCATCAGTGGTTAAGTACTATGGTAGTTTCTTATAAAGGCCTCAATTCCTTACATAAGGTAACTAACTATTACTCCATTAAAACATTCTATCTCTATATAAAAGCAAATTCCATTATATGAAGGGAAAGAGTTTAACAGTTTATTATTATACTGTTTTGTATTTTATTCATTTCTGTGTATTAATTATTGCGTTGCTCAATAAGAAGCAATAAGAAAATCTACTTTTGTTTTATAAAGAGTAAATAAATAAACTGCTCAAAACAAAAGATATTGTAAGTTTTATATGAAATAAAGATATAGGCGAAATTTTTTTTGTCGAGAATGAAAGAAGAGAATCACAAATGAAAATTTTCTGATTTTCAAACTGTGGAGTATGATAATTTTGAGTTCGACGTCAAAAACGTCACTTCAGCGGCAGCGAATGAAATTTGACTTTCAACTGAATAAAAGACAATGAAGACAAGGATGATCGGCATTCAGTGACTGCTTTGCTTCGATGAGTACGATGTCTGAGCGAAGTCATTTAACCAATCCAGTAGCTTGGAGAGTTGTTGGTAGGCTAGAAGGGGGCCAAACTCAAGCCGAAGTAGCGCAAGCCATTGGAGTGTCACAAAGTGCGATTTCCACGATCTGGAACCGTTTTTTGGAAACTGGACTGGAAGTGCAGGCCGAAGACCAGGACAAGGTCATAGACTAGCAACAACGCCCAATGAAGATCGTTATTTAGTGTTAACAGCTCAGAGACGCCAAAATATGAATGCTTCTCTTCTCCAACCCACCTTTGCTCGGCTACTGGCACCACGGTTTCAACTCGGACTGTCCGAAACCGGCTCCATGGTGTAGGTCTGTATGCTCGCCGACTGATGGTATGTGTTAGACTAACATCAAGGCATCGTCGCAACCGCAGGGACTGGGCAACAGAGCATGTGAACTGGAGGAGAAATGAATGGAGCAATGTTCTTTTTTCTGACGAGTCCCGTTTTTCTGTTCATCCTGATAATAGGCGTATTTTCATCTGGAGGGACCGTGGCAGTAGGAATAATCCTGCGTTCGTGCACGAAAAGTGTCAGATTTGGCGGTGGGGAAGTGTTGGTGTATGGTGGCATCTCCATTGACGGGCGCACAGACCTCTACATCATTCGAGATGGACCTCTGACTGGTCGCCGATATAGGGATGAGATCCTCAGACCTATTGTAGTCCCTTACGCTGCAGCAATCGGAGATGACTTCATTTTAATGGACGATAACTGCAGGCCACATCGTGCTAACCTGGTGGAGGATTTCCTTTTCGAGGAAGGAATCGTACGAATGGAATGGCCAGCGTGTTCTCCAGACATGAATCCAATAGAGCACGTTTGGGACGCTCTAGGAAGACGAGTTGCTGGCCGCCAACCACCCCCACAAACTCTCCAAGAACTGGAAAGAGCTCTTCTGGAAGAGTGGGACAGAATAACCCCAACTCGTGATTAATAGCCTCATTGACTCCATGCCTCAAAGGTGTTCAACGTTGCTGGCCGTCCGTGGAAACCATATGCTCTACTGAAAAATGATTTCCTTTGAAGAAAACACCTTTTCTTAATTCTTTTTTTTTTCCCCTCATATGCACAATAAAATGCATTTTTTTTCTGCCAAACATGTGTCATTTATTCTCATATAACCTACTACATCTGTCGACACTGTATCAATCAGCTAAAAAGTTTCCCAGCCACAATATCCACCTAAAAACGCAATATCCTTTAATTAATTGTTTTGAGCAGTGTATTAATTTTAACACAATTTCATGACTATTGTACTTGAAATATATTTGATTCCTGCTGATTGCCACAGTTTTTAATGAAAGACTTTCAAAACACTGAACTTATAATGTGCTATTCAAAATTTCAAAGATGTTTTAATTTCAGGACTTATTTTCACTCTATTTTATCCAAAATATCTATACCTCTAAAGAAGCAAAGTGTGCAAATATCCAATATGACAGCTTATTATTAAGAGAAAGTCTCGTCTCAAAATTTTGAGTTTCCAAATTAGCTACATCATCAGTATTTAAAAGTCATATGATAGGATTTACGTAGAAATGATGCAGTCCAGAAAAACTCATTACTTTTTTTTTTAAGAACAGATAGGGAAAGTACTCTTAAATGGGAACAAGATGCTATTGCTAATTTAAATTAAAATTTTATTTACACAACTTTTATCTAACATATTTTTACATCCATATATATATATATATAAATGAATAAACACAAAGTAAAAAATGGTTCAAAATCTAATCCAAATGCATGTGGACAGCAGCAAAACATGATGGTAATAATGCAAATAAAATAAAAAAAAAAATACATTTAAAATTCATTAAATATTCAATTCAGAATAAATCACATGTAAATCATCATTTCATTGTAATTATTAATGGCAATGATGTGATCAATGTACCTGTAAGCAAATAAAAAAATTCCAGCAAAATTTAAAAATGAGATATCTATTCATAAACTTGGAATTTTTTTTTTATTGATAAACCATATTTAACTTCAGAAGACTCCTTTGGGCAAACGTTAACATCTGAACCCTTTGAGACTTTTGTCCTTTTAACTCCTATTCTCAGTTCATCATATCAATTGTTAATCAATCTTAATGACTTAACTTCATATATTAAACATAACTTTCTTCTCAATTATGCCTCATGAAATTCAACAACAAAATCACAAAATATTTAAAAATAGCATATCTTTAGAATTTCAAATAGAGGATGTTACTATGATGTTGTCCTGATTTGCTATATTATTTAAAAATAATGCATAACAATAGCATTTGGCAGCAACATAATTTTATTTGAAAAGTGATATGGACAAAAAAGTGAGGATGATTTAACAGCTTCCTTGCATATCTGCCTAAATACTTAAGATGACGACATACTGGCCTTTTTTGTGGAAGATTTACAGGTAAATTGAGACAACAATAAAAAAAGAAGGAAAAATTTTTCCACCATAACAGATAATCAATAATGTAATGTGTGCCAAATAAGAAAATTTTTACAGCAACTCTGTTACTTTTACCCTATATTTTATGATAACAAAAAGGTTATAGAACAAAATGGTGTTTTATGCAATTCGATGAAATTATATTTTTGTATTGCTGCATCTACATTTATCATAAAAAAATGCAGAGCTCTGCAGATGATCCAACACATGTATTTTATTGTTGCTGACTCATCTTTTCAAAAGTTTTGAACAACATAAAATGTACAATTTATAAGTTTAAAGGAAACAAAAGTAAGTATTGGAATTTTTCTATATTTTGTAGATATATAATAACTTTTAATGTATTTGCACTTGATTTATTTTTTAATTATAATGCAGGCAAGTTTGTGAACTATTGTTGAATCCAAACTTCCTTCAGTCTTAAATGTTGGTACCAAACGCCACTGCAATGCAGCAAAAGCAACCATGTGATTTGTTATTAATAATTGTTATATTTGCTCTGTCAATGTATATAGAGTATGTGATGAGTCAAGATATACTGCATATTGTAATGATGCATAATGAGTTATGCTTTTTTCTGAGTACCCTGAAAGCTATGAGAAGCTTTCGTGTGAGAATTTTGATTATTGATAAAGTATATATGTTACAGTCTACTAGAGTATTTAATTATTGTATTTTATAGTAGGACCACACCCTTATTATTATATGAATGAATAGAGCAGAAAATCATTGCAGATAAAATAATTACGTGCAAATTAAATAAAACTTACCCTTGGACTTGTGACAACAGGCTGTGATGAAGATTCAAGGCTGTTGGGTATATTCAGCAATGTATGAGAATACAAACTCTGTGACGTGGATTGCCCATCTGCATAGATATTTAAAACAATTTTCAATTTCAGAATTTTACATAAAAAGAGATAAGACCATAGCAATCAATATAAACATCAAATAAAATAATAGCTGAAAAATAAATACTAAAGGTAATATTAATTATATTGTGATGCTGCAAAAGTTTTGATGACATTTGAGTCCTCTCGAATTTTTTGATTAATAACTCATTGAAATAAGTCTGAAATAATAAAGAAGTATTCGAACTGCTCTTCTTTAACATAATACATTCAATCAAAAAATAAAACTTGATATGTAATGGAAAGATAATCATATCAGCTGTTCAGCAGGGCCTTATTTATTCCATAAAGCACACTTTCCACCTATTATATATTTTTTTAATGCATACTCAGTCAAAGAATGGAAGATTACATACTTTTCACTGTGAAAAGTTGGAGAAAATTCCTATCAAGCTCGAGCCACTCATTCCAGCAGAAATTTGGAGGAACAGTTCACTCTTTGTTTAGTTAGGCAATTAACAGAAACAAAGTTATGGATAAAATAATGGAATTAGTTATGGAAATGCAATTAAATAATATCACCTCAAATTTGTGCAAGTTATTTCAGCAGTTGAGAAGTTGAGAAGGAAATACATTGCTATAACTGTCATTGTCAGATAAAGTTTGGTATCATGTTTATTAATGCATATATACTATCACTTTGAAAATACTCCAATGTACGCTGGTTCCATACAAGGCAGATCCCAATTTTTTTCAAAAGATGAGGGAATAGAGAAATGAAGCTTAAATTTTATATATTTTAACAAGAATTTAAACTGACTAATATAATTTACTACCGAAAAAGACTTAATATGTTGATTCAGAGAAAAATATAAAAACCTTTAAAAAACAAGGAAAGTTTTTTTAAAGGTTTTTATAGTTATTACTGGATTCTCTTAAAACAGAAAACTTAAAATGAGGAAAGTAGAAAAAAATGTCAAACTTGATTTGGATTACTATCAGAAACATGTTTTAGCACCTCTTTTTAAAGAATTTCTCTCTTTATATCCAAACAATCTTCACTGTGTTAAGTTCCATCAGGATGAGGCTTGAAGCCATACCTCTAAATCTACTGTATTATTATTATTTTTTTGCAAAATGAGAAATGAAACCGGTATTGACCGAATTCCCTTTAAATGCATCTCACGCGAGTCTCCTGCTACGTCTCCAATGGATTACCATGCATTTGGACTTTTAAAACAAGCTCTTTTACAAGTGGCATCCCAAAACATTGGATTGACTTTGGAAGATTGTAAAGGAGGAGTGGTATAAAATCAATCTAAGGAGGACTTTATCTTGGGAATCAAGCTGTAATATGATAGCTCAACAAAAGGGCTATCAAATTGAATATATTAGAAAATAAAATTCTAAAGTTTGTTTATATATATAAATCTTTGCAAAATTCGTTACAAAAATGTGTGAACACCGTCAGTACATTTGACTGAAATAAATACAAATAGATTTAATTAATGACACATGTAATTATTTTTATGAACATTCAGCTTTTTGTAAAATTTATAAAAGAAATTTATGGTGGTATGTAACAATTACAACCCCCCCTTACAATTTTATGGACTTCAGCTTTTTTTTAAAGGCATACTCCTTCTTTGAGGTGTTATATTCTAACAGACTTTAGATGCAAATGTCATGCATAGCAGGACCCATGTTCTCTCTCTATATATATACAAATATTCAACATTCTTATCTGTATATGTGTGATATATGTAATGAAAACAAATTTTTAGAAGTACTGATGCAGAAACGTAGAAATACTGAGTGTGCGGCACGTAGATGGTATATTGAAGAGGTAGATTAAATTCCACTTTTATTTAAATTGACATTTGTGGCCACAATTCACTTGACACTCTAATTGTGCCTATTTCCAGAGCATTTACGTTTTTGAATACTATTGCGACAGGAAGAGCACGACAAAATTGTGTCCAAGCAGCAACAGGTGTTGATACAAAGTGCGCATTTATCAAATATGACAGTTTGTTAAGAGACAGGTTTAGAGTTCAACTTCCCAAGTAGCTACATTCTCAGCGTAATGCAAGCCATTTATCATAGATTGATATAGAAATGATGCAGTAAAAGAAAGTTATTGCAATTTTTAGAATACAAAGAGAAAATACTGAAATTAAAAATAAGGAATTAAGAAGCTATTAATAGTTAAATTACAAAGTTGATTTATGTGTTTATCATATTCATATAAATACACACACATGCTATATATGCTAATATATAACTAAATTCTTCAGTATTCTTTATGTGAATTCCATCCACCCTATCCTATATTTTATGATTATTGTTAAACTTTTTTTCCTTGATCTTTTATAACATTCCTTCACCATGTTTCATTGCATAGCAGAAGAAATTTTACTACAGAAATAATAAACGTATTTATTAAATGTTTATAGAATAACTACTGTGACCCTTGTCATCAAATTCTTTGATAATATTTACCAAAAAATAAAAATGAAACAACTGATATTTCAGCTATCATTACTACCAATAGACACCTAAAAATAGAACAACACACAAAAAATAAATTTAACCGACAAGGAAGGAAAGATGTTGACCTTTTTTTCATTCTCCATTTTTTAAACTGTTAAACAATAACATACCTTTATGCACTCAAAAATAAAATGCTTTTAAATATTTTTTTCTATTACAGGCCTTTCAGTGCATAATTAAAATCAGTTATATTAAAGAAATTACATAATGAGACAAACTACAGCTAATTGTTTAATTTTTCTTGCATCTTAAGTCCTGAATTATTGAACTAGAATGATTAATTGAATTAATGTAATAAAAAGGCAATACTTTACACTAACTGGACCCACTGAAATAACACTAGCTGGTTGCATTAAAATTGTTGCATTAAAATCAACTATTTTAGACTGGCCTCACAAAGAGCTATTATACATACCTGACAACAAATCAATAGATAACCCCAATTCTTCAAGAGTTTCTCTACTAAGAGACTGAACATTGAGCACTCGTGTAACAGACCCAGAAGAGAGTGATTGAAGCACCTGTTGATTCTGGGTAAGGGGAGAAAAATTACTAGGAATACTTGAAAATTTTTTTAAATGTTACATAGTTTTAATTTAATAATTATACATACGGAGCTTGATGAAGACAGCAAGACCTGCTGATTTCGAGGAGCGAGGGAAGACCGCAACTCCTGTCTCAATAACTCTGATGCATTTTGAACAGTTGCTGATGATCTAATACTGAAAAATGAATTAAAATATTATATATGAAAAAGATGCTAAACATTGCTATAATAAAAAAAATGTTAACTAGTATAGTAGAACTCTGATTACCTGAGTTTTGACTAACTGAGGTTCTGTTTTATCTGAGTTCAATGCAATACATAAATAAAAAAAGAGCCATTAAAATAGCCTAAATGAAAAGGTAAACAATCTGCAGACCTGGGGGGGGTTAGCAATAATTCAAAGCATAAAGATCAGAACGCCATCGTTACAACATTTAAGCTTTGAGTGAAAAATTAGTTGGCTTCTAGTTTTTGCAATAGCGTGCAATTTTGGAGATTTTTCGACCAATCATCCTGATGAACGTCAGCTGGTTAGTGAAGAGATGTGTGTGTGTTTTTCCTCAAACCCTTTAATGTTAGGCCCTTGATTTAGCCACTGAACCATTTTAAAAAACTTTAAATGGAACTACCGACATAGGCTCTTGAAATATTTATTAGAAGATCTAGAAAATTACAAAACAACTGCTAACAGGTAGTTAACAAAACAGGTTAATCTGAAAGATGTCATTTATTGGCTGGAGGAATCATGGAACAATGCGAAACAATCTACCATTCTGAAAAACTGCAAAATATTTCGCCGAATGACAATGACAGAAGAATGCCACAAACTCAAGAAGCAGATGATGAAGTGGCTATCTTAAATCAGCCACAAGCTATAGATACAATAACGAATGAACATATTAATGATTGGATGCAAGATGATGAACAATTTGAACTGTCTGATGAGACCATAGTAAATTTAGTTATGCACAATGGAAAGGATGATGAAGACTTGGGGATTGTTCAAACCAAGATCAATCACACAGATGGCTTCAATGGATTGGAAAGGCACTGCTGTATGCTGAACATCAAGACATGTCACTAGCTGACCTAAAGATATTGCAATGCCTACACAATCTCCCTATTTTTCCTTCCCTTCAGAACTCTTTTCAAGGTAATAATAAATGTCAACAATGTATTCATCCACACTTACTGGTAAAGATGCTGCCCCCTTTTCAACTGCCACATTTAAAAGGTGACAGATTTAAAGTAATAGTAATCATAATAATAATAATTTTGCAAATTTAAAGATGACTGCAACTTTAATCTTTAAGTCTACCATTCTAGGTGCATTATCACCACTAAAAGCTAGGAGATTATCTGGAACAATTACATTTTCTATTAGAGTTTTAATAATTTGCTGTGCTATATTAAAACCTGCCGAATCTCTTTCTAAAGTGGGGACAGAGAGTAAACTACATTAAATTTCTGAAGACTTGATTTTTTTAAAAAAAGACATAAATTGGACACAATTTTGCATCAATATTATTGCTTGTACAAAGGCAGAGAACTGTTTAATGCAATCAATAAATGATTTATTTTTTCTACCCACTTCTACAACTGCCACCACTTTTGTCTTTGCACTTCAGTATTTTTGCTGATTTCACTATCAGGAATCATTTTTAAATGCAACATTTGGTGGCAGGTTTTGCTCCAGTAAAAAGACTAAGAACAGGTATTCTGTATTAATAACATTTGGGTCTTTTGTTTCCACAGAAAAATGTGATTTTTTTCCCCAATATAACTTACAATGTCCTTGTGTACACCCATGTTTAAAACGGCAGCCCTTCCATTTGAAATCAAAAAATCGCAATGACAAATTGTACAAACTACAAATGCATTACATTTCCTTGATGAAGTAATAGAAGGAATCTGTGTATGGCTTTTGAAAAGTAAAGGAGTAACACAGACATAACTAAGACAAAAGATGGAAATTTCTAAAACTGCCTGTGAAACTCACAGCACTCACTGGTGAAATGAATGAAATAAATAACAACCTCAATCTTGCTTTGTGCTCATTGGCTAATATATGCTGGATGATCTACAGCAGCACTTAATTGTTTAATGGAAAACTGAAACATGTACTTTTGACTATCACGCACAAAGCAGAAACACACAATATCTCATTGATGAAACGACTATTTCTTTTATATGCAATCTAGGGAAAAACAAAACAGATGACAAAAATCACTTTTTTGGGAGCACATAATGAAGTATTTAGACAAGCTACATAAAACTCATGAGAAATTTTAAGAATAAGAGAAAGAAGAAAAATGTTGTAAATCAGGTTGGTAGGAGTATGGAAATTGTGAACTCTGCTATAGTATTAAAATTTTCTTCGTATCAATCCATGTTACCCGAATTTTTGGTTAACAGAGTTGGCCCCAGTCCACATTAGCTCAAATAATCAAAGTTCTACTTACTGTTCTTTAAAAAGCACTAATTAAAAATTAACCAGCAAATGCTTATCATGAATACCATTATTAGTAGGAAAAATTTCCAAAATATACCTATCACCGGGACTACTTGTAAACACTTGAGCATTTTGCCTCTCAAACGTAAACTGTTGGCCACCTTGAGCAACACTGTAAGTAAGAGGACCCCCAGGAGAGGATATTGACACAAAAGTTGCAGTTGTAACTCCAGGTTGAGAAAAACTTGGAGATGACAATGGCCGTGGAGATAACACAGGCTCACTACTGGCAAAATTTGACTGGCTTTGGGAACCAGATGCAATACGAGCTGTTAAAGTATGGATTATTTCAGTTATGTGCATAAAACTATGCAAATAATTATAGATATTCATAAAAATAATGTAAATGTATGCCGTTTTAGATCATATTGCTGTAAGTACGGGGTTTATAAATTTTTAGCTTGCCAGTAAATAAATAATAAATTTACAGGCTTATCAAATCAGAACTGAATAAATTAAACTAACCCTGCAAAATATTTCACTCTTATAATATCATTCTAAAAATGAAGTAGAAAAATATATAGGATTCATTAATATAAAACAAAATAATATTTAATGAAACTCTTAAAACACATTTGAGAATAAAACCAATTCCTAAAAGTTTTCAAGAAATTTCTTGAAACACTAATATTTTATACTTGTAGTAGTCACACATAATTTAAACACAATTTGCATGGTCAGTATTAAAAAGATATTCATTATAAAAGCAAAAATCATGATCTAATGAAATTTTGGTGTTTTAAATAATGGAAAATTACACATTTATTACGTTAATTTTAAAAACGATTAAAACACTTATATATTAAAAGCTACAAAACACCCACTGCATTAAAAATATTTGATGTGATGATGAGCTGAGATATATTTCAGCTTACATGGTGCTGCCGAGTTATGATAATTTAAGGAGGAGTGGCACTTTCATTTGTATCCCAAGTAAGTTCTGCAAGGTGAAAGCAATTAAAATACTTCTTCCAATCTAATGCCTGGAGCTCTGAACTAGATTAGAAGATGAGACTGACCACTCCCCTTCCTGTCCACAAAAGGGCACTAATCACCCCATATTAAAGACTTGATGCGACTATTTCTTTCCCTTTATCCTTAATCTCTGCGCAAAGACCATCCATAATGGAGAAATATAGATATTTTTAAAGCCATGTGAAAAGGTTAAATCATTCATAAATACATTTTAAAAATACAGCTTCATTTCTGTAAACTTATTTCATCATTTCTTTTACGGATTTACCAAGCCTGAAACAGAACCTTAAATCCATCTGAAGCTACTTTTTTATGGCTACTGTTATACCTTTGCATGCTTAAGTGTTACCAACAGAAATCCATAATGCCTATTCCTATATCACATTCAGCATGTATGATTTAGCTATGTTCAAGCATGTTCTATGATTCATCTTTCACCCAATACTATGCGTATCCTATGATATCTTTCACAGAACTCTCTGCTAGCAACTGCAGTATAAATAAATAAGCGTGCATCTTTATACCTAATGGCAAATATAAACCAAATTAAACTCTACTTCAGTAAGTGTAAGAACCTGCATATCTCTTTCGCAACTTAGAACATAATAAAGTCAGAAAATTTGTGGTATGCATATATAGGTGTATAAATAATGAGTAATGGACATCTTAAAAAAAATGAGGAGGAAAAGACTAACCTCTCTGAACCCTTTGTTGTTGCTGTTGTTGTGAAGCTTGAGTCTGAAGAAGCATAACAGGTGAAAGAGGCGTATAGTTAACATCTGACTGCGATGAGAATGCAGTAGTTCTTGTACTCTGATTCGGAGCAGGGCTGGACATAGACCGCATAACCAGCTGCTGCCTCTGTTGAGATGTCAATCGAACTTGAGTAGATCCAAGAGACGCCTGCTGAAATAATACACATAATTTTATTTGGTACCTTTTGTTAATCCAGCATCATTTAGCATCAAACATAAATACTGACAAGTAATTACCTTAAGAGATATGAAGCTTAATGAAAAGATTGACTATTACATTAAATCTTGAATAATAATAAGAAGAAAAGGACAAATATGAAAATACGAACTAAATTTCAATGGATTAATTCCACATTACAGAGGAGATACGAAACTGGCAAAAACATCTGCACCTTTCCAAAAAATCACCACCATCAAGCAGGCATCTAAATGGTGGGAACCAGCGAGTGTCACGCTTGATGTTTATTTTGTCATTCTGCACATCATACACTGTATCAGGATCAATAATAATTATACTCATGGTAACTAACACACAGGTGTACATTTTCGACAGCTGAAAATTCATCCCTTAAGCAACTGCAAATATAGGAAAGCTAATTGAAAATTCATAGACTGGACATTCATTCTCCCCACTTATTTGTAGGAATGAATGTGAATGTCATGTTGTGATGTGATACAAATCAGCTACTATATTTGGAACTTTGGGAACTCATTAAGGTATCTTTTACTCATAAAATAAAAAGACTACTCAAATAAAAGATAATTTAATTAATGCTCTTTCATGAAATTTGCACCTAGCTCTCCTATTCCATAGGAATTAATGTAACATGATGGATTACTTCATTCTCAGACCACAAAATTACTTACTCATTCATAAAGAATAAAGTATATCATCAAATATAAGGTAAGAAATGAAAAAAGATAAACACAATTATTAAATAGATAAAACAAAGAAAAGTTAATTCTACTACACTTGCACGAAGGTTGCAGTATGTATGATATGAGTGTAACGAGAGAGGAAGAGGATCTTTCCATAAAAACATCAAGTACCTTTCTTCCAGAGGTATCATTTTTCATCTTTTCTTTGATCTTTGTCCTTTAGTTACACTTTGCTTAAGACTCAATAGGCCTCTTTTATTAAAAAGTCACATGTAATTTGTTGTTGTCTACCTTTTAAAATTCTTCTGTAGTGAGATACAGCATTCTCAATGAAAATCCATATGCTATAGCTTGCTAATGCTTTATCAGAGCGATACAGTTAAGTGAAAGCATCTTGTCCCATTTTGCAAACTTTCCCAGGCAGAAAGTGCTTTAATAACTACTCACTTGTATATTGTTTATTCCAAAGTGAAAGCCTAGAAATATAACATCGTAGATAGCAGAAAACAACCTAAATATCAATGCACTCATAAACTCAGTCTGCGACAAAAGCTGGCCATAATTTCCCCCAAAGCCGAATTCATGATTCCGTAAACCACTTGCTAGGCTTTGGCAAGGGAAAATATCAAAATATTTCAGGAAGTCCCTGAATTCTATACCTATAGTACAGGTACCTCAAAACAGTTTTGAATACTATAACTTGCTGATTTTGGTGTTCATACCCAAACATTTAAACATACAATTCATCATTTGATGCATTTTTTGTTCAGATAACTTGTTTATCAATAAAGCTGTTTATGATCCCAGGTCCCATTGTATATTGCATAAAAATTACACATTATCTATTAGTCTGATTTCTATAATTTAATTTTGTTCAGGAATGACCACATGGTAAAACAATGGGGGGGAAGACATTCTAGAGTAGAAATAAATATCATGCTTTTATACAAAATGGTCAAATTTTTCAGATGGTTAGTGAAGATTAAACGAATATTATTTAACTTTTAGATTTTACATTACAACAAAACTAAGCTGAGACACCTACTTGTGATAGCTGTGCATTAAGCATTGGATTCTGTAACTGAAGATTCTGTATTGGGCTTGTAGTTATGCGCTGGCTCCACTGAGGTGATCCAGCACTAGGCTGAGGTGACACCACCACATGAGGTGATCCAGAAGGGGGAATAGGTGAAGGAGAATGACTAGGTCCTCCCTGAGGATACGAAGGCGGTGGATGAGGAGAAACTTGAGCAGTTTGATAAGAGGCAGGTGGAGGAGTTTGGCTGGGAAAAGGCTGTTGCGAGAGTGGTGAAAATGGAGAGCGTGGATTATACCTTTGTCCAGGAGACAACTGTGCTGGGGTGGGAGAAGTCTGGTTGGTAGGACTAGGAAGTGGATTTGATAATGTAAGATTGAAACGTGCTGAACCAGGAACTTCTGGAATGCCAGAAGAACGCTAGAGATGTGGAAAAAAATAATTAAAATAATAGGAGAAAACAATATTAAATTTTTGCACATAAAAAATCAGCATATAATTTCAATATAAAGATTTTTCAAGTTATTCTCACTTCCAGCAGATACCTACTTAATAGTTTCTCTATCAGATTACAATTACCAGTGAATTTATATAATTTCTTGTCTGTGTGATGAAACATACATAGGAGAATATTGAAATTTTGCTTTAAAAACATTATTAAAAATTGATAGAGGGCATACAAATACTTTACAAGATTGTAATGTAATACGAGGCACTGGAAATATTTCTCCTTAATTACAACAATGATACAAATATTTGTATATGCTTTTAACTGGATACATTATATATTATATCAACACATCTGTTAACTACCATCCATAAAATGGTAAACAATTATGAACAAGAAGATATATAATGCAGGTGAAATATGTAACTTATAAAGCATGCCTCTATGTATTTAAAAAGTTTACGAGATAGCATAATCTGATTACTCTTTTAAATCCCTTAATTTAAAACTAATCTGAGAAGGAAGTTGTGTATTTTCTTTTATTTTCTAAATTTAATTTAACGGATGAAGCAGAAACTAAATCTATTGATATTCCGATAAAAAATCAAAATGCCTGCTCGTTTAATTAAATCAGAGCACAGCATATGATAGTTATTTCTCTCAAGGAAAGAATCTTTCTCGGAGAACATTCAATAAAATTTTAGATATATCATAAATTTTAGGTATATATTCTAGTGCCTTTTAAAATTAATTTTGAATTTATGTGGCTAACATGTATAAAAAGTTTGTTTATTCAGCTTTACAAAGGCTGAGTTCCATACTAAACATAAAATACCAACATGAATTAAATACACATCACAGCTTTCTTTATTCAGCTTTACAAAGGCGGAGTTCCATACTAAACATAAAATACCAACATGAATTAAATACACCTCACAGCTGCTTGGTTTACATTTTGTACATTACACAAACTTGTTTACACCAGTGACCAATAAACACAAGTTTTTAAGTATAGCATTTGAACAGATTTTGTGTTAAAAAGGAAAACTTTGTAACAAGGTTCTAAAGAAATAATTTTTCTTATAATAGCAAGTTTTATTAACTACTTAGTAGGGTATTCAATCCATTACATACACTACTGTAAAAAACATATGGCAAATAAGCATAGGTATGAAAAATTAAGAAAAACTGTACGTACATCCAGGGTTTTTGATAACTGTATTAATATAATGCTAATCCTCTCCTGTTTACTATGTAAACAAAATTTTAAATAATTTCATTCATGGATAAACAAATTAATTTTAGCATTTTTCTAGAAAAGAATTTTTTTTTTTTACTTCCCTGACAGAACTCCTATTGTTTATCCTACATTGTAGGTGCCAAATGCAAAATTATCCTACATGTGCTGACATTTTCTTTGCATATAAAATGATTATGAAATAGAAGAATTTCATATTTAAATTATAATTAAGTAATTTACAAATATTCACATTACAAAGTTCAGAAAGACAAGATATTACTATCTGCAAAAATCTGTAATCCAAGCAAACCCAGCTCAAGACATGTGGATATTGGTAAATTAAAGCAACAGAACATACCAATAATGTAACATTTGGAGCAACTGTATTATTTAACAGGTCATTCATATTTTCAGGAAAAGACGCTGCAGTGGCTGGAGAATTTATTACATCAAGAGGTTGCTGAGTCTGCAAGGCCAATTGCTGTTTCTGCTCTAATGCTCGCTTCTGCGCTTGTTGCAGGTATAATCTTGTCTTCATGGTTTTTCTGATCTGAAATTTGAAAGGAAAGGATAGATTAGATTATTTCTAATTATAACAAAATATTTTTTTTAATTCTCAATTTTGTTTTTTCAAGTTTTCAGTAAAACTTTCTATTAAAAAAACATTCTACAGTATAAAGAAACTCAAATTGCAGGTATTAATTTCAATTTCTTAAAAAATCCTTGCTGTAAAAAAATAATAAAAGAGTTTTATTTTTAAATTGTTCATCTGCACGTAACGCATACCATATTCTGAATAATAGGCAAAATAACCACGAAAGTGGTTTTAGATGATAACTTTACTAATGAAGATAATTTTTATTTCTAAATCTATAAAGGAATGAAAAAGAGAAATTATAACACCTACAAAGGAAACAAAACTGAACTGAAAAAATATCTGCAAGAGCTACATTAACTGCTAAGAAAATTTCTGAAGAGCATTTTAAAAACAGCTGTTTGAGGTATTACTGATGAAATAAAGAAATTTACTAATAATTAACACATAAAAATACACCAATAAAGACATTAAAACATGCATAACCATCTTCATACACTTTTTTTACAAAAGTTTTTTTCTTTTTTTAAAATAATGCATTTTGTATAATTTTTTTAAAAAAAACTATCATTAAAAGACACAAATACAGATATAATGGCAGGCATTGTATGAATAGTAAGAAATACAGGACACTGACGTTTCGCATGACAAAAAGGACATACCACAGAAGAAACAGAACAGAATCATCAGTACTTTTACTGCATATGTTAAAATGTGTCAAGAATTAGTATGAAATCTGGATGATTTTTAGACTAATATACTCTTCCATAGCTTAATAACTACACCATAAGTGCAAGGAAAGTAGTACATTCACAATAAGAACACATATGGCAGGAAGAAAATTTGTAATTCAATTATAATTTTAAAAATTTAAAAAAATTTGTCCCCAAATTTCCATAATAATTAATATCATTGCAAAGACCTATAATAATCAAAATCACATTCTTCACACCCACCTGCTCCAAATAAAATGCGTAGTGATTCTACAAGTGATTCTTGAATTTTTTAAAAAGTGGTGGATGATAATTTGCTGCCATCATGATTTGGCAACTGGGTCCTCTCCTGCACTTACATTTTAAGTAGAGAAGAATGTAAGACATTTCTCTCTTCTTACCATGTGCCTTTGTGGTCTGTAAATTGTTTTTAACTGGAAAGCATGTCTGGTTAGCAATTAGAAGGTTCAGAGTTCAAATTTTGCTTGTCCTGCTTCGTCACAAGGAAGCAGATGTAAATTAAGAAATCATTTGGTTTGATGTAATTTATGCAATTAAATTATAATTACTTCACAACTGCTGGTAGATTCTACGCATCAAAGTTAAACATGTAAACTTCATTACTCATTAATATGATTAACTATATTATGATATCTGAGTTAATAGATATTTTCAGCTGATTCAAATATGAATTCACAATATTTAATAATATAGATAAAAGTGTGTAAAAACACATTTGAGTCTCAGTACGCAACCATAAAATAACATATTTATTTTTAAGAATTTGCTATCAATAGATAAAATTACCTTTTTAAATAATATTTTAAGCATATCAATTTATAAATAGCTTTACATAAATTAAAATCTGGTATATCTGATCACAGAAGCTAGAGCATTATAAGGCTTTTGATAATTTACACCTAAATGACAGCAGAGAATTTATTAAAACATAGTTAATTTTCATTTCCTTACCTGATAAAAGTACTTCCGGCCCCTTCTGAATCTAAAATACCTAGCTCTCAAATTGCATTTTTTCAAACAATACATATATATATATATATATTAAATATTAAAAAAAAAAAAAAAAAAAAATACGATGGCTTTGCTCTTTTCGAACCAGCAACCTTTAATTAATTCTCTGCAATTCAGGATCTTCCCCTTACCTTCTAGAACATTCGCTCCTATTACATAACCTCCTCATATAAATGCTACATCATAAGTTTTCTACATTTTTCTAGAAGCTACTCTGTTACATAACCTTTCATATAAATGCTGCGTCATAAGTTCTCCTACACAGATGCCTTCGTCCTGCTAACGCTTCCGCTATGTTCCTCTTTCTTTGTTAGAACGTAATGACGTATTAAAGTTTAAAGTCAGTCATATCAATTAAGTTATTTGATTAACTTCATCTGGAAAAAGTCATCTGTTCTAAATTAAAATAAAGGTATGCTTGCTGTTTACAAGTGAAAAGTCCTGAGTCGTCATTTTTCTCCGTCCTTCAATCATTCCAGCTTCGTCAACCATCTTCCAGAACGTGTAATAGAATAGCCTCACCATTCGCCCACGATGTGTTGGAATAACTGAAAACATTACATATATATATATTTGAAGCATTCCAAAAAATAATAGTATATCAAACTAGCTAAAGTACCCATTCTATGCCAGGGTAATGCACATTTCTTTTTAACCCTTTCCGGCAAGCAACCTTTTAACGTTGGAGTTTTGATTTAAAAAAAAAAAAAGGTAGACAGTCTAACTAGGCCTAGAGGACTACACAAGTAAAAATTTTGTGAAGATAGCACTTATTGTTTTAATTCTGTGGGTGTGCCCAAAGTAGGCACACTGATTGAATAGAGCTTCGAAAAGAGTGCTGAAATGAGCATTGTTGTCAACGAACCGACCGATGAAATGCTGAGAAACAAAGAATACAGACTCTCAGTTGTTTCAGATTATCGGTGAGTCCGGTCTAGGGTTCGCCATTTGATTTTAGGCAAGATTTCAAGGTAAAAATTTTAAACTAATATACAGAATAAGGAGATTAGCATACAGCCAAAAAATAACACAGAAATTTCTTTTCAAACAATTCCTTTTATACCCTAAAAAAATCTGGAAGACTTCTTTGAAAAATGAGGGTCTTAAAAAACTAAACATGGCTAAAATTATGGACTGGTTTATGTTGAGCTGCCACCTACTATAAATAAAGAAGGTTCAGAGTAACCTATAAATCCTTTTTCATTCAATTTTTCTATGTGTACAGAATGAAATTTTTATTTATGCCCAGACCGGACACACTGTGCCACAAAAGGTTAAAGCATTTTTACAGTTTATTTATTGGACAAAAACTTCTTTGTAGACCACTCTTAAGGTCTTTCTTAAGGTCGCGCTTAAGTTCTTTCATTAGCAAACTGGTTAACTATAAAGTTATAGATATATATACAGTCATATAAATTCAACCTGATGTGGACTGAGAAAGTTACCAGAATTGTTGAGCTTTCCAGAGGAAGGGATGGGTTATCTACAACTCACATCAATAGCTCGTCCAACACTTAAATTATCCAATTTCATTTCTATTGTCATGTTGATTTGTTTTTTCCCTTGGTATTTTCAATCGCTCAGATAAAACAGCATTTAAACACCAGCAAATAAACAAAGAAGCCCTAAGCAGAATGAACTGAAAGTTTAGCTTACAACAGGATGGCTATAAACCTTTGGCCAAGCCTTAAACGACTAACAACAGAAAGGAATGTAAGGGATAAGCAACAGTGGCTGATTTTCGTCAACCACTTTGTTACTGAAAGGAAAAATGGGATAGACTGGAATTTCCACAAAAAAAGAATGAAATTTACCCCAAATTTGTTATGCAAGTACCAAAAAATAGTGTGACAAAAGAAAAAACAAAACTGCAAAATTATAATACCATAACAAATTTTTGAACAGAAAGGAAAATACATATTATATGTTCTTTTCATGCATATGTTCAGCACTTATATTAATACAATAATTTGCACTGTACAGGCAATGTTAGAAATTATTTATGTCTAATATTAATAAGCATCCACATTACTTGAAAGATAATGTTTACTTCTTTAGCAGCAGAAATCTCTCTACTGATTTGGAAAAATACTTCTGAATGCCCTGATAATTATATTACCCGCAAAGGTGTGATTTTCATTTATATACAAATACACATTTCAAAAGCATTTGGGCTAATTGCTCCTTAGGACTAAAAACATTTAAAAACAGCATATCTTTAGAATTTCTGATAGACAGTCCCACATGCTGGAGATAAAAATGTTTTACTCCATACAGTGTTGCCATTACTAGCTTTGAAGTCATTCAGTTCTGTATTCTAAATTCATTAAGATTTTAAAAAATATGAAACTGATAATAAATTTGAAATTCAAGATTCTGGCTTTCAGGTGCCTATATTCAGGTGAAGCACTATTTTATTCAAAATTTGATAGCTATAGGTATAATTTTCTCCACAATGTGAGAAACAAATACATTCATACAGATTCTTTATTATTTTATTTCTTTATATATAATACAGGGAGATAATATTTGGTGGCAACAATTTGAAAAGTGATTCAATGCAAAATGCTGTTTTGCAATGACTGTTAATAGACCTTCTGGGCTGACGTTCCTTGGATTTAAAAATATAATTTGTAGAGTTATATGGAATGTCAAGCAGTTTGTAGGACTCTACTATATACACTTTCCATTTTCACTACTCATGTAAGATCATTATGCATGTTCTTTTTAAATAGGTATATTAAAAAGCATAGAACTGGTAATTTTCAAAACATAAACATCAAAAACAAAGGCTTATTCTCAAATGTAAAAAGCATAACCTAAACATAAAAAGTGACAAGGCATGTTGACATTTCCAGTAGCCCCACTGAGTGCACCATAACACCACCTCATCCCTGCAATCTTCTACTTAATGATCGATGACACACTGTATCTACACTGTTATATAATGGGTGATACACATAAGAAAAATTTAGAATTACCTGAAACTGAGGCTTGTATTATTTTTATATATAACACGCTTTTGATTAAATAAAAATTAAAAATAATCTAGAATTAGAATTAATCACAAGGAGGAGACTCAAAGCCAAAAGAACAATAATAGGAATTTAACACAATTAAAAGAAAACTTTATAAAGCATCTCAAATGAATTTACATAGGAAAATTAAAACTTACTTGGTTGACATTTGCATTTCCAATACCAATATAAGTATTCCTAACCAGCAGACCTCTACGTTGAGCTTGAGCTAAAAGTTCTTGATTACTTGATAAACTAGCTTGAGTAGTGACAGGTAATCTTACTCTGTTTGTCACCAAACTGTAATTAGGAGGCAAAGAACCAGCCATCAACTGCTGCTGCTGCTGAAGCAAAAGAACTTGTTCTGATGTCAACTGAGCTTGAACAACAGGAGTTCCAGAAATTTGTGTTCCTGTTCTACCTGCTTGGGAGGATACAACAGTAGAATTTTGCAGTGCAAGTGAACGAGATGCAATTGCTGCAGAGCTTCCTTCCATGAGTTCTTTCTGAATAGCACTAATAGCAATTTTTTCATTAATATCTTGAGTTGTAGCAACTGTGACAGGTCGTGTTATTATATTGGCTTCAGTTGTTTCACTGACTTCTCCGAGGAGTTTTAAAATCGCAGCGCGATCATCAGCTCCTCTTCGAGTCTCAACATTGTGATCTTCTCGCAAGCTGCATATCTAAAAAACAAAATTAAAAAATGAGAAAAATAAAATATAGAATAAATCATGAATAATCATTTTACAATATTTCTCCCTTTGCTTATTTAGGATCTGAAGATAAGACAGAAAAGCAAAAAGAACTATTATATAATACACTATACAAAACTGAACAGTTGACAGAATTATCAGTTAAGTACTTAACAAGAAACCATATCTACTGTAAAAATCATACTGAAACTTCAACATTACTAATCAGTTCCTTTCACAGCTTTAAAAATACTTTACAAACGAACAATACACAAACTACTATCAGTTAAGGAAGAAAACAGAGTTCAATGAAAAACTTTCAGAAAAAGAATACAATACACAGTCGTCCGTAATCCAGATGTCCCTTATCTAAACCTCAAAGACACGAACTTACGCATTACGTGCATAAAGCGTTTACACGTGCGTGCTTCCGATAGCGAAGAAAGTGACAGAGAGGTTAGTGGAAACGAAAAAATTTTGATTGACAAGTTAGTCGGTATTCTCGACATACCAATTACAGGATTTGAACAGTGGAACTTTGTAGCTGAACAAGAAATTATGTCTGTTTATAGAAGAAAGAATTAAATAGAAAGTATTAGCATAAAAAACAAAGTCTCTGAAAGAACTTACATTGAAAGAAATGTTTAATAAAGTAAACAAATAAATATTAAGCATTCTTTTTTGTAAATTTTGATACCCTTTAGATCACAATTGGTCTTTATTTCATAAATTATGTTTTCATATTTTTAATTGTATAATTTCTGCATGCCATCTTACCTGATTTAAATTGATGATCTATAATCCGGAAAAACCCCTAATTCAGAATCGCCGAAGTCCCGGCGAGTCCGAATTACGGACTTTGTATTGTATATCCTTTTAGGACAAAATACTTTTTCTTTGTTCTCTTTTCAGTCTCAAGGAAGAGAATGCTTCTTGAGAGAACTTAATTTATGTTACACAAGAGGAAAATTGTGAAAACAACATTACAGCTCAATCATCTAGCCCGCTTGCCACTGATAAATCATCAAAGTGCATCAAGAATAATTTTCACAAATGCTATCTTTAAGTGTTATTACTTAAAAAGTATAGCTGGAATTACATTTCTGTCAGAATGGCTAATAATGTTTCAATATCCATTACCTTACGAACACAAAAGATGATGTTCCACTTCTATCTTTTCTTTAGGAAGATAACTGTATTTCATAAAAATAATATTTTAATTTTAAAGAAGTGAGGAACGGTAGACAAATAAAAAGGAAGGAGAGAATCCAAGTATAATTTAATGCTAAAAATAGCAAAATTTAAACTCTTTCTTAACACTTTTGGCCCTGCTGGTGGTGTCCGCCTCTTCATATGTACAGGTCTATTTTATTTGTAGTACAGATTGTTTCATTATTCATCACTAGAAGTATCATCTGATGGCTTGTCTGCCTGCTTTTCCTCAGTAATCTTGTGGCTATTTGCTTTAGAAAGTTGCTTGCAGAACAATTTGTTAATGAGAATAATTCAAGTAGCAACTTAATAAATATATTGCAGGGTAGTTCTTCTAACACCTATAAGCAACATTTTGTAGACTTCCTTTTGTGTGTCTTTCAAAAAATCCAGGGTCTAACTGATTAAAAATAATAACAAATCTGTGGCAGTATAAAAAAAAAAAAAAATCTTTTAAACGTTTATTAAAATAGCTTCTTATAATACAAAAAAGTTATTAAACTAATATACTTGCACTCTAATAATCATCAATATTTTATATTCTGTGTCTGTAACAAGAAATAAGTTGCAGACATTATGGATGATTTTACTTGAAAGCTACACTTCAAATAACTATTATTTTCTTTCTTTTTAAAGGGTTTGTACATATTCCTTTAAAGGAAAATTAACTGTCAAGGATTTTAAAGGACAATCAAAGAAAAACAAATTAAGAACTTAACAGTAAGCAAAATAGAATAAATTAAAATGACTTATCATTTTTTTTTTCAAAAATATTAAAAACTACTATTAAAATCATGATCTAAGAATATTTTACAGTTTAAAAAAAGACAACCAATTATACATTAAAAGCTACAAAACGTGTATGCGCTTTTTAAATTTATACCTGTTTCTTTGCTTCTATAAACAAATCAAGGTCCTCACTAGGTTCTGCTTCATTTCGTATTTCAACAATGTATCTTTGAGGAACAATTTTCTTTCTCTTTATGTGTAATCTGTTTCTTCCTCAGTAAGTTAGTTTCCTCTTCATTTTATTATTTCCAGATTTAATTATAAAGATTTGTTATTCTAAAAACGTGTTTATATGTAGAATGTATAGAAGAGAGTGCTTATTTTATCTCTTTAAAAAATATGTGTATTATCAAGAATAATTATGAAGTGATATATAATGGCAGGGAAAACATTTGAGCTGGTGTGGCAGAATGTTTAGAATTTAGGACAGACACTGAGCAGCAAAATTTAGGACTTTTAGGGATTCCACCAACAGTAAAATATGTAGTGTCTGCCATGAGTATAATGCACTAAGACACATAAGTCTTTTTAACTCCCAATTTTCTATTCCCTTGTTAACAGAAAAATTCCATTTTACAGACACAAATCCTTGTGAAGAGATTAGAATCATTTTTGTAATTTTCATGCTTATATCTAGTGAAAAGTAAAATTAAAGGAAAGATAATGACTTCTAAGAACAAAGGTAGATGCCCATTCCCATGAAGATATTTTTCATTTTATCACATTTTTCTGGTGTATTGAGAATACGGCAAAGCACACTAAGGCTATCTGCCTAAGGGGAGGGATGCCTTCGTGGAGGACTTTCCAAGGGAAACTGGCTCGTATACACGTTACACATGGAGAAAACCATGAAAACGCCCATGCAGCCAGCCCATTCGCCACATTTTTCTGGAATTTTTTAAAATCATAGTTCTATAAGTCTTGCTTTCCATTCAGCAAGGTCTAAAATCAGAAAGAAAAATTACTCTATGACTGTATAACAGCAAAAAATTGGAAGATTTCTCTCTCTCTCTCTTTTTTTTTTTTTTTTAAGTGGGAAGAGTGTAAAATAAATTTTACAGAGAAAATAAACACAGAATTGAATATTCTGATATAGACATGAGGGGAAAAATTTTCATTAAAAAATTTTAAAAGAAGATAATGATATAAATTTTAAAAAAAATTCCAGTAACTTTCAAAAATGATATTTTAAAATATTAAATATGGCACTTTTTCAAATCACAATATTTCAAGTCACCAAAATGGAAAGAAATGTTCATTTAAAATATAATAGAAGAAAATAATAAAAATGTTTTAATATTATTTTAATTATATTTATCAATATTATGTATGCCTTTAAAATAATTGATGAAAAATTCACAAATCTCCCAATAGGAAAAATGGCATGTAAATTTGTCTTAATCATGGAAATGTTGATAAGTTGCCAAATTTAACGATGCGTAACAAAAAATTCATACTTTAAATAAGGAAAAGTTCTTTCTGATATAATATTTTATATATACTTTATGTTTATGTTCCTATTGGGATAGTGCCTTATCCTCCAGAACTCGACCACTTCACTGTTTATTTCAGAAGTAGGCACATAATTTAAAGATAACCAATCAAATTCATATTTCTCAATAAACTGTCAGAAAAATATTCCTCCAAAATGTTAATTCACACTCAAAATGACAGTCATTTCTGGTTTACTTGTTTCCTGTTTTGCATATACATATGCTTTTAATAAACATTGCTGAATTATAAAATTTTTGTTTTTTGAAGTTTTCAGAACGCATCCTGCGATTTTGTATTGCTTGTTACTACTGTGGAACATAGTTACATAGTTCACATAACACAGTGCTTTTTAGAAACTTATCAGCTGTGTTATAGGAGAGAGACATGTAATGTAAACAGCATGAAAAAAGCAACATTTTGAAAGAGCTAATTTCTTAATTTTTTTTTAAAGAAAATATGTTATATTTATTTCATAATTCTGATTAATATGGTTAAATTAGAAACTGAATATTTTAAATATGTACCTCTTCTAAAATCTGTGCATCCTGAGGATCAGATGCTTGATTAGGTTGCATAGAATCAGCTATAGCATCTACATCTACAAGAACTGGGTCATTTAAAATGTCAGCAAGACTAGCTGTCACTGAATTTTCAGTAGTGGCCTGAGATAACTGTGCAAAAGTGGAACTCTGAGCAGATGGATTATTATTCGAAAAGCCAAGAGATAATGACTTTGCAATCAATATATTATCATCACTTCCACTTAAAATTTTGTCAAGAAAACCTTGCTGCTGTTGTTGTTGAGAGTATGCAGTCTTTAGCCCTGAATGAACATTGATTTGAGAAGGTTGCTGCATCATATGACCTCTTGAGTCAGATGTAACAATGTCCCTCTGAATTGGAGCTGTTACGAGTGAAAGGGAAAATGCTTGTGACGAGGTAGAAATCCCATTAGCAGAAGTGGCAGTGTATGGAGTGTGAACAAGTTTCTTTTCAAGATTTTTTGGAAGCCTTTCTTGAGGTAACTGGGTCATGATAGTACTGGCTACACTTGTTGGTACTGATGGTGGTGTCCTTGGCGTCTGAGCTAACATAGATGCAAGCATAGGATTCTGGCCTGCTAAATGTGCCTTAGGAAAGAAACACAGTATTATCAGCATTAAATATCCTTTAAAAACTGGTAAACAGAGAAATTCATTTCAGAGATAATAAAACTCAGTTCCGAATTTCATCCGAATTTTCTATATAACAAAAATAAGTAAATAATTTTGCAATGACCTGATATTATTAAAAACTTTAAATCGTAATAAAAGAAAATGCATTTTTTCATTCAATTTGAGAAATATTTTCACATTAATTTACTACATTCATAATATAATAATTTTATATACATCTTTGAGGAGGAGAGATAATTTAGAAAATGGCTTTTGATTAGCACATACTTCATGTTCTTCTTAAGACTATATTTTTAACACAAGTTCTTTTTACAAAGGCTAATTCTTTTAAAATACTACAGATGTTATAAAAAGAAATATATAAAAAAAATCTGTAACAAAATGCCAAATATTGGGTTTTAACAAAAGTTTCCCGGTATTGCAAACAGTTCGCAATGGCATGTTTAATATTTTGGCATTTGAAAGAAACAGACTCAATTTAGAACATTGTGTTGCGAAATTTGTAAACATATACAGTACAAAGTCCGTAATCCGGACGTCCAATATCCGAAATTATCTATAATCCGGACCTCAAAGCCACAAACTTTTTTTTTTTTTGTATGCTTTATGCATGCGTGTTTAATGTATAACAGACGGTATAAGCTAGGCTAAAATTATCTTTACTGATTATAAGGCATTTTAGTTAATATTGCAGATTGCGCTGTTCTTTAATCTTCTAATCGTATCCGGTTTATTATTTGTTGCAGACTGCTAGAGCAATTATATAAAAATTAAGCTTCAACTTTAAATTATGTCAAAAACGTTTTCAATTCAAGAGCTGCCAAAGGATCTACACAGCGAAAATTCGATGTCCATTAAACAAAAAGTGGAATTGCTGCAAAAAATGGACAAAGGCATATCCATCTCAAAATTATGCGAAGAAGTATGGCATTGGAAAGTCCACTGTATATGACTGATTATAAGGCATTTTAGTTAATATTGCAGATTGCGCTGTTCTTTAATCTTCTAATCGTATCCGGTTTATTATTTGTTGCAGACTGCTAGAGCAATTATATAAAAATTAAGCTTCAACTTTAAATTATGTCAAAAACGTTTTCAATTCAAGAGCTGCCAAAGGATCTACACAGCGAAAGCATGTTTCGATGTCCATTAAACAAAAAGTGGAATTGCTGCAAAAAATGGACAAAGGCATATCCATCTCAAAATTATGCGAAGAAGTATGGCATTGGAAAGTCCACTGTATATGACACAAGAAAAAAGAACTTTTCGTGGAAGCATCTTAAACAACTTGCATTGAAAGAAATGTTTAATAAAGTAAACAAATAAATAGTAAGCTTTTTTTTTGTACATTTTGATACCCTTTAGATTATAATTGTTCTTTATTTCATATTTTTAATTGTATAATTTCTGCATGCCATCTTACCAAATTTAAATTGATGATCTATATTTAGGAAAAACCCCTAATCCGGAATCGCCGAAGTCCCGACGATTCTGGATTACGGACTTTATACTGTATCATTATCATTAAGTATAAGGTGTCTGAAATGGAACTATCATGCTACCAGACTAGAACAATCACTTCCTTCCACTTCTATTGCAAAAAGTCAGCTACAGAATGTCATGAATCACGAGTATAGCTTTAGGTTCTAATGCTGTCTCATACGACACAGTGAAGGTTTGGTATCGGAAGTCCAAACAAGTAAAGATTTATAAAATAATTTTACACGATATAAATACATATGAACTAAAATTCTCAACATCTTTATAAAATCAATTTTTATATAAACAGTGCTTAACTTACATGGCCTGCATTGTGTCTTTTGGGTGGGGCACTAGGTGGATTCTTCTCCTGTAGACTTTCTTTTCAATGTAGCTGTTTCAGACAAAAATGTGACATCAGGAGTGCAACGGTTAGATTCAACAGACACCTGTTTTGGCACTGAAGTTTCTGCTACGTGAGGACTTGGTGCATTTTCCTGTTTTATTTTATCACTCTAAAAATTAAGTACAAAAATTTTACTGATTAAGAATATCATATAGGCTTTTTTTAAAACATGCATAACTGAATACTCTGACTGAAAATTCAGAAGGATATTGTGCCAATAATGTTTTTTCTAAATTGATAAATGTAACTGTGAGAGAAACGAAAAACAATACCTCATGTGCTTTCGATAATGTTTGTAGACGTAAATTTAACATTTTTGAGAAGCAATAATGCATAATTCTAAATAATAAATAATGCTGTATTTCAGCTATGTTATTGCTTATCTTTCAAAATTTTCAAATCAAGAAACTCAGCAGTATTGTCTCCTCTCTCTGCCATTCTGAGCCAAAGTTGCTAAATCAGCAGATATACGGGTATGACTGTATTCATTTATTGCTGGGGAAAATTTTGCTTATTAAAGGCTAAAAATCAGAAACCAGGAAAACTTCATCTACTCAAAGGCTAAAGGATGTGATGAAAAATCAACTGGAAGAGTTTGCAGCCTTGTATTTAGTAATACTTCAATCATGGAATCCTTACAAGAGTTACCAAAATATGCTCAATAATACTGAAAATCTTTATGATAAAATGATGACATTGTAATATAGGAATTTACTTAATTACATTTTGCTCATTAAAGGCAAAAAGTTTTCCTCATTAAAAGCTAAAAATCAGAAACTAGGAGAATCTCATATACTCGAAGGCCAGATGTGATGAAAAATCAACTGAGAGTTGGCACCCATGTATTTGGCGATATTTCAATTATGGAATTCACAATTCTACAAGAGTTACCAAAAATATGCTCAATAATATTGAAAATCATTTTGATAAAATGGTGATATTCTTCAGCTTGTTTGAAAATACTAGTATTAGTTTTTCCATGCAATTTTACTATCACTAATGCTCAAAATTGAACATAATTTCTATCTACTAAGCACAAGGCTTCAAAAATTCTCTTTTTGACACAATTCTTCATTAAAATTATTGCAATTTCACGAATTGCAATTCTTTGTCTTCTTTCCCTTCCACTCTTTGTAATGACTCATTTCATTGACTTTTGTATTTCATTAAAAATATTTATAATACCTCTTATGTACTAATCCGCTTACTCCTTCCAATAAATTATTCTGCTCAAATAACAGCTATCCTTTTTGTACACAAAGCTTTTGATATACTACATCCAATAAAATTTTTGCTTGGGGCTTTTAACTTACATTCTTAGAAAAGTTGAGCAGTTTTGGAGTCCTTACTTCAATATGACTCTGCTAATTTTACTACTTCTATTATGTTAAGACTGGATTAAGGCTGGTGCTTAAATATCCAATAATCAATAGTGTTATAGCCTAACACCATCGTCTCCAAAGTGGGTAAGAGACTCCAGGAAGTACACAAAGCGATACTTGGAGGTAAGCCAAAGTAGTTACAATCACTTGTGAGTAATATGATCAGATATCAGGAGCGTGAGGTTTTCTAATTGGGCACTGTATTTATACACACACACACACACACACACACACACACACATATATATATAATATATTGCTGTAAATTTGCTTTTCCAAGCATCTTATTTACTTTTACTGCATTAATTAAATATTTCCCTTATACTAGTTAACAGCGGACACGTCGGGAAATGGAACAGGGAAATTGAGACCTGGTTTAAAATTAATATTGGGACTTTTTAATAATAAAAAATTTATTAGCTATCAGTCTCAATGCCTGCTTGACAAAACGCATTCTGGAATTTAGCAGAGTTCGAATATCAAGGCATCGCTATGCATGTTAAATTTATATTTACATTCTAAATCAGAGCAACAAACTAAAAACCTACTTTTCTCTGACATGAAGGGGCTTTTTTTTAAGTTAGAAACTTATTTTCATTATTAGTTAAGGATTGTACTTTCACAGTACTTAAGGATCCAAGCACTTTTATTCTAAGGCAGGGTTTCTTAAAATGTGGGTCGAGACCCCTAAGGGGATCGCAGTACCTGCAGCAGGGGATCACCAAAAATTTTAGCAGGTTTGATATTTTCTTTAACTTATTATAATAATTTTAAAATTCCCAAATATTTTTACACAATGTATCTGAAAATATATATAGATAAGACAATACAGACAAAGAAAAAAAGGAAAACATTTTGATGCATTCTTTTTATAATAGAAACACTCATTTTACTTGCTTTGCACGTGAGGCTGCCATTTCGTCTGTTACTTATTTAAAATTTTCACATTGTTCTATGTCTTAAAATTAGAAATTAAAGCTAATGATCTAAAACAGTGAAAAAATTGACAGTTTCACACACGCGTGTGTCCGATTTGCGCAATGCTTAGGGGATCCCACAAAATTTTCATAAATATTATGGGGTCCTGGGGGTCACGAAACCCTAGTCCAGAAAAAAAGGCTATCAGATACTTACAATCTTTACATTATAAACATTAATTAAAAGCCCTCAAACTCATTCTATAAATATGTAAATACCACACCCTTTGTACATATGGTATATAAATGAAAATTTACCAAATTTATTTATATGTTTCCTTCAGCAATGTGTATAGTAACTAAGTTTTATTCCAAAAAAATGTCATATATGAAACAAATGTTTTTATGTTTAAAGGATGCACACCAAGTTGGAGCCATTCTAAAGCAGTCATATGTGAAGGCACCGCTGCATTATACAATGACTACAAAAATGAAATGACTTGAATAATTATAAAATGACAAACCTGAATAATTACAGAAAATGTTTACTACATATTAACAATAATTAAAACAAAGAACTTACCAAATATTTTATTTTTACAGCCATTCTTTCTCATATTACTTTAATTCACAAGTCAATTTAAGTATAGGAATTCAAGTACATTAAATTATTATGACAAAACTCTCTAAAACCATCTGTTATTTATTAAAAAAAAAAAAAAAAAAAAAAAAAAAATTCTGTTATGAAGAACATAAGGGAAAATATCTATTTAACAAAGTGTTTCTGCAGTTTTTAAAAATGCCCATTTATTTTTAAATTGACATTATTTTTACGACCAATATTCATATATGCTTTTTAAAAAAAAGAAAAGAATACACACGGACAATTTTATAATGTATTTCCTCAATATCTCAAAATTTAGCTTTTGACTCACTGGTGCATATCAAGTTCACTTTGAGGAATATTTATACTGATATAAAGAAGCCTGAGAAAATACAAACACAACCAGACATACTGCAAGATAATGAATAATGGACAAAAAGTATCATTAATCTACAACATCAACCAAAAGTGTGCTTGTCGAAAATATTCAAAGGAGGAAGGCAAGGACCAAAGACAAATTTTTATTTAAGTTAGAGGTTCATAAGTAAATTACAGATGTACTTTGCTTTTAATACAAAAACATTTTTTACTCAACTTAAGCAAGAATAAAATATTACCTGTAATAATGGAGTTTTGCTGCCAGAACCAGCAATTAGTAACTGGTGGATTAAATCCTGTGGCTGTCGATAGCTTCGATCATCAATGGCATCATTAAGAAGCTAAAATAATAGAAATAGCAATGGAATCTAAGTATTACTGTTCACAAATTATGCTATAGACTCTGATAAACATATAGATTAGCATACAAGTTTAAAATTACATATATTGTTAAGTCACTTAAATTAATTGCCTAGAAGTTTTATGGACTCTAAAATCCATAATTGTTGGGACTTCAGCAATTTCAGATTTTGGAAATTTTTGGATTTTATTTTAAACCAAGTAAGATGCCATGCAGAAATTACAAATTCAAAGATATAAAAAAGGTTACCTGTAAAATAATGAAGCATTTATGACTTTAAGAGAGAAATTTACACACATACCCCCTACACACAAAAAAAAGGGGAGAGAAGAAAAAGCAGCAGCTAAGTGTTCATACTTGTTTTTATTAAACTTTTCTTTTTTTCATAAAATGTTTTCTTCTCTTAGCTTCAGAAAACTAAAAAATCTGATGTGTATACCACGACTTCCTTGTACGGAATATTAAATTATAAGCAATTTTCCTGCATTTTATTTAAACATATTGAATTAACAGTTAACAAATTTTGAATTAAATCTACTTAAGTCAATTTTGCATAAACCACAATAGAATAAATGCACACTATATTTACTGACCATAGCAACACTGTTAAGAAGTCAACAACTGATACACCCAGTAACAAGAGGAGCTTGAAACAATGGTCAGAAATGATGGCAACCGAGCCAGAATTTTTGCTGCAAACAATTGATGGATTGAGAGACAGGACAGCTAATTTCAACTGAGCCAAAGAAGGTTTCCAATGGCACATCAAGCAAGAATGTGCCCAGCTATGCCAGAATTTCCATAACACCAGAGGAAATCCAGATGAATATCAGATAGGGGCTACAAGCACAAACTACTGGTTGACAAACCAGAAAATCAATGGGCCAGAGAAAGACAATGAATTCTCCCCTCACACATGTACTTTACTGTCTTGGCATAAATTTGTAAGAGAAAGGAAAGAAGGAGTATCACCAAAGCAAAACATAAGTGTTTTGTGTGTGTGTTTAGTTTCAGTTTATGCCTTACAACGGTAACTTTTATGTTAAATTTTGCTACAATTGGGGACATCTTAGATTTTATTCAGAAAGAAGCTTTTTAATTTAATTATGCATTTATCTTGAAGGACTTTTAAATTTTAACATAAACACGATACTCTATTTTAGTTCAAGAGATTGCAATAACATTTTTGGCACATTTGCTTCAGACATTAGCAATTTAATGTACACTGTGATGTTAAGCCCAAACTTAATCTTTTGATTGTAAATGAACTTAAGTTTCATGAAGTATCAAAATCGTAAAAACAACCTTGTATTTAGCGTACGTATATTGAAACACTCAATCGATTTCGAGGGCAGCTAAATGTCCCTCCTCATCAGGAGTTAGAAATACCTAGAAAGAAGAAAAATAAAGGGG